TTTATAAATGTACAGTTCTCAGGTCAACTACAATAAAGCTATACGCTTAAAAAGTTTACTGATTATTTGTCGTAATATACAATAAAAAATTACATATTAATTATTCAAGATACAAGTGAGAAATAAATATCATTAAAATATACAAAAAAAATTTATCAATTTGACTCTGAAAAGTAAGTGACATGGTTCTCAAAGTGCAAGGTTTCATTTGACTTACAATTTTCTTCAGAAACACAGAAGAAAAAGGTATTTGTATATAGTTTTGTATATTCACTTCGTTGTGTGTGTAGAGCTTTTAAAAATACGTTGAATCCTTATTCTAATCTAATCTTCTTCTAATGTAATACTTTTCGTATTTCAAATGTTGTAGTAATTATTCTGTAAGAGCTTCGACATTATTTCTAAATGGACATCGAGAAACATCATAGTTTTTTGAGAGCAGGCCGCCATGTTATTTTTCTGAGTCATTAACAAATTGGTACTCTGGAATTACGAGCAATTATTTTTCATTGTACGGGCTAGTATGAATTTCAAATCAAATCTCTATAAACGACTATTATATTTTGTGCACTAAGAATAACATATCGCACTTATTTTCTAGAATCAAATTGTAATCAGTTTTACTTATATGTATGTATATTCAATGTGAACTTGCACCTTGAATAAAATATCACAGTTACTTTTCATGGTAATATATTATTACTAAATTTAGATAATATACACTTTACGTATGTTCACTTTGAACTGGCACCTTGAATAACATATCAGTTACTTTTCGTGATAATTTATTATTAGATCGTTTAAATTTTTGAGTACCTTCTTTTGAACATGGCCTGACCTTTTCATTTTTATGATTTTTTTAGGATTTTATTATAGTAAACTTTACCTGAAATTAACTGAAGAATGTAATTATGTTAGACTTTTAACTCCAAAACGTTTAGTTTTCAAAAAACCCATTTTTTTCAATCGCTTATAACTCGAAAATTATTGATTTCTCAACATTTTTGCTAAGGAAAAATCGTCTCCAAATCGCCAGAGAATCCGCCCTTAATCATTGGTCCGTTAGTTACCGAACACCCTGTATATATAAAATAAAATTTGTACAACAGTGTTACAACATGAACAAAAAATTCGAATAGACAGAAATCCGTTATACTGAAATAGGAAAACAATTAACATATCTTAAAATCTTTCTATATAGCTCATCAATTAGAATATGAAAACAAACTGTGAGAATAAAGCCGAAATGGAATACAATTTTGAATATAAACCGTGGCTTTCAGAACTATCGCGATACATCAATTCAGATGTGGCAACAATTGCTGCGAATTTACATTAAGACTGTGTTTGAAAAAGTAAAATATTCTATATTTGATAATTAATAATTATTGTAAGAATATTAGATCGGCTCTTTTAGGAGAAGGTGTATATTGAATAATTTTATTGTATTTTTATCTTTCTCAAATATAGCTTATTTACATAAAAAGCCTAAATTGTTTAACGATGTTTACTTTATCAAATCTCTCTAACGGCACAATAAGATTTATTGAATTTAAATAAATATTATATCAATACTCTATTTCTTTATATAAATTACTTATTTTAAATTAATAATATCGATTTGATGTAAAAAATATTTATTTGATGTAAAAAAATTCTTTTCAAAATAAATACATATTGTTTGTATCAAATAAATGATTTATATAGCAATGTAGAAATAAACATGTTTTTTAATTTAATAATTTTTTCAATGCGGTGATACTCTTTTATACTTGTCAATTTTATTCTTGACAATATGTGAAACATTAAATTGATTTTAATTGTATGAGTAAGAATTAAATTATCATTAATTTTGATTTAAATGTCTGAGGAAGGTTTAGCTTATACGAAAACAATTATAGAATACTTCATGCAAATAACAGAATTTGGGTACTAATTGTTTAATTTTATTTTTTAGCGGCCACTGTACAAAGATAAACTTTTTTCTTTAATTTCATGCAAAAACGAAAGTCTTTACCAAACTTCAGTTTGCTAACATTTTTTCTGAGGTATTGCTCAATTTTTATCTAAAGTAACTGTAGTATAAAATATATTGAGAGTCACTATAAAAGCTACACGCATACACATACATATGTAAGTACACAAGCATGTGCGTACGTAAGCATAGATATATATTTACATATACATATTTTTATTATATCTTTTATGAACTTTGCAAAAATATGTGAAATCCCACTAAAAGACATCACAGATGTAAAAAAGTGCTAAGTTATATCTTTCGCAAGCAACAATAATTCTTTACAAAAAGTCGTAATCAAATATATTATCTTCTCAAAAATTATGTTTATAGCCAAAATAATTCTTTGCAAAAATTAATCATTATCAAAAATATTTTCTCAAAAATTATATTTATAAATTATATTTTATTTTTGTTAATAATACTAGAAAAAAATTAAAATATTAGCATCAAAAAGTAGTGAAATCAAAAAATTGCGCTAACAATAAGTAAGTGCTAAGTATTTTTTGTACATCACATTTTTTTACTTTTATTTTTAAATTTAAATTTAAAATTTATATTTATTTTTAAATTTTTTAATTTTCTAAATTAATTTTTGTGCCTTATATTACCTTTTTTGAATATACGTTTAAATATATTTGAATTAAATAATTATTTATAGATAAATAAGTTATTTTATTATATATATCTATTTATCTAAATATTTTTTAAAAATATATAATAACTTTGCAATGTATATACATTCCAGTTTAAATTAATTACATAATTATTCATGTTATTTAAATGTAAAGATAAATAAATATATGTATATATATTACTGAATTTATTTGTTATTGTATATATTATAAACGTTTGAAAATAAAGCAATAATTATATATTGTATCATTATAGGAAATTTATCTAAATATTATATATTATGTTGTCATTTACTTAGTGCAACTTTTTGATTTGACTACTTTCTGATGCTAATATTTTAACCTTTTTTCTTGTATTATTAATATAATTATTTAGCGCAATTTTTTAATTTCACTACTTTTTGATGCTAATATTTTAATTTTTTTCTAAAATATTAACAAAAATAAAATATAATTTATAAGTATAATTTTTGAGAAAATATTTTTGATGATGATTAGTTTTTGCAAAGAATTATTTTTCCTAAAAACATAATTTTTGAGAAGATAATATTATTTATTATTATAAAGAACTATTTTTGCTGGCGAAAGATATAACTTAGCGCTTTTTTTTACATCTGTGATGTCTTTTTTTGTAGGATTGTAAGTTACAATACAGATTGACACATTTTGCAGTATTTGTAAATCTGTTGTGTTGTACAATTTTAAGTTTTATATATATATATATATATATATATGTATATGCAATATTAAGATTAATATTTTATTTAAATAACTTTTAAAAATTAGAATATGAATTTAAGAGAGTGAGAATTGAATGTGGGCGGGAGAGAGGGTAGAAGAGAGAGAGAGAGAGAGAGAGAGAGAGAGAGAGCACTTGTTTATTTTTATGTTTTTTTTAAGGTCTACTTAATTTTTCCTCTTAAATTATATATTATAAGCTCTAAACATTCACCGAGAATAAAACCAACAGAAATTCAAATTTAAATTGTACAAAATATACACTTGATAATAAATATTATATAAAATGTCCCAGAACTAGCAATAAACTAACAATGTTATATACATATATACAGGATGATTTTGGAGAAAAATTAGCATTTTAGAAATCGATTAAATTGGTTATTTTGAGAAAAAAATTCAGAGAAATATATATTAGAATTCGAATAGTTTTCTATACTTTGAACTATTTGAAAGAATAAATACAAAAATTAAAATAAATAGTAAAAAAAACATTACTCTTATTTTCTCTTGAATCATTCATATGTTTATAATAATTATAACAAAAATATATATTTATTCATTATATATGTATTGCTAGTAAAAATTTAATTATATTAATATAAATGTTCTTTTTGCAAAGAAACTAATATATACAGATATTTTGAAAAGAGCTTTATCCCTTCAGTTTGATGATATTTTGTAAAAAGTTTTTTTCAGATTAAAATGGAAACCTCTAAAGGGAATTTTAACAACTTCTATAAGAAAAATTTTTTAAGAGAAAATGGTAAAAGTGTAATAATTATATATATATATATAAATGTGTATATGTGTGTGTATGTGTGCGTAAACATATACTTTTATTAATTAACGTAAAAAACTTTAAAACAAATTAATATAATAACTCAAAATAAATAGATAGTACATTTAGGTGCATTTATCATTTAACAAACATATTTATATATTTACATTTGCACATTTTTATTATTGTTATATCTAATAGTAAAATTTATTATTACAATATAAGAAAAATTTATTACAATATAAGAAAATTATTCATAGGAAGTATGTCCACGCATGTAAAATTTTTTATAATTTCCACTGAGGGAAAAATCTATTATAATACTGTCTCTGTCTTCCGATTTGATTGTTGCGAATTGACAGCTTGCTTAGAATTTTGGAATACTCCTTTACTAAGAAAATCTAAAATATATAAACAAAGATTTGTACAATGAAATCAATATACTGTTTATATAATAAACAAAACAAATATAAAATTATTATTTAGAGATGAATAACATAGGACAATATTTCTTATTCTTTCGCTTTCCATAATAATATTTACTAAATTTACCTTTCTGTGTAATAACTGTTAAATAATTCTGCATTATTCATTTCATCATTTAGGGCTTTTACGAATTTGAGTTTCAACTTTTCAACGTATTCGTTTATTTGCTAAAATATATTATTTTTTAACATTATTCAAATATAATATTTTTGTATTATCAAAATTGTTTTAAATATTAAATAATAATTATTAATATCGCATTATTATCACATTTTGTATACATATATAAACATGTAAAATTTTTACCCGAGTTTGATTTTCAGAATATACGTTATTAATAATAATAATTAATGCTGCGTTTATACCAACATGTCTAAAAACAAAAAAATGTGTATATAATACACATAATAAACATTTATATAAAATATTTATAAAAATATGTCACACATTACTTTGGTTTTATGTCGTTAAAATGATCTAATATGTACTTCAGTATAATTTGATTCTTCGCATGCTTTGTAATAATATATAAGAAACTGTTACAAAGATATTGATATTCCTGTTCTGTAGATTTGTGTATATATCTTAAATAATTGGTGATGACATCAGTATCTTCAGGGCAAGCCAAGTATTCTAAAAATTTAGTGTCCTTTTTTTCCATCCTATATAATACACTGATTGCCAAAAGATCTCATTTTTGGTAGTTATCATCATCAATCCTTTACAATATGTCCATTCCTTCCACCATGGCAAAAATCTAAAACATAACAAAAATTAAATTTTCGTATTAAAGATTAGCATATGAATCTCTTGATCAAATTATTTGAACATTATAAGCAATACCTACAAGAAAATTTGATTAAGAAAAGCTAAAAATATATAACAATATATTTACCTGTGTGTTTTAGGTTTTATGATATGTTGTTTTAATATATTGTTGGCATGTTTCTTACAAGTAAAGTCACCGAGAAAGCATGCCCATCTTGCAGCTTCTTGTCGTAAACATTTTCTAAGGTCGTCACTAGCATCAATTTCTTGATAATTGAATCTTCTAAGTACCGAGTTTAATATGTTTCTTATTTTTATCTAAAAATCGTTAAATACACCCAGCTGATTATTTGCTTGGAAATTGTTAACAATTGGGAAACAAAATACGACCAAATATGGTACAAATCCAGGGCTTACTGTATCCTCGAGTGCGCTCCAATTGTAATCAAAAGTTGAAAGTATATCTTAACATCAAGTTGGGTGCAACGCCAGAGCATATCTGTCACTAACAGATGTGTTGCACCCAATTGATGTTAGAATATACTTTCAATTTTTGATTGCAATTGGGGCGCACTCGAGGACACTCGATGCGACGACAGATTGGCAACAGATTTGGAACAGATTTGTCAATCGTAAATTGAGAACAGATTTGCGCCAAATGCTCAGCAAATCGAAGAAAAATCCTAGATCTGAAGGATCTGCTGCATTTTTGGCATCAATCTGTTGTCAACACTTTCGACAGATCTGCTTGCTACTCATTGCCACTTTGTCAATATAATCTGCTAACAGATGTTGGGAAATATTTACTGAATTTATGCTCACAGTGTTTGTAATGACAAAATATGTTTCTTATCTGCGACCATTTCACAAACAAAAGTTGTTGCCTACATTTGCCTCCGCAGAAATGGTTAGCTGGGTATATTTCTCTGTTTAATTAATATTTTGCGCTCGCGTTAAGCCCAATTGCGATTTCCAATCGAATGTCCCTGGACTACGAATTACATCCCCCAAAATATTGCGTCCGCGGGACGATTCCGATAATCACTCGGATCGCGCGACACAATCTCTCATACACGTCCGAGAAATACCTAAACATGTATTTATATAAAAGGAACAAGAAAGGAGCTTTAATAGGAACACGAATACAAGATATAATGAGAAGGCGAAGGAGCGACTCAAGTCAACTAAATATTGACCAAAAAATGACATAAATTTAGAACAAAAAAGTCAATATGACGTCAAATTGACTTTTCTGTTCTCCTTGGGGAGGAAGAATCGTAATGCAACCGTCACAGTAAACATCCGAACGACTGTGGGCTTAACGCGGGCGCAACAATAGGGTATTATATAAATGTATATAAAAATTATTATATTTTTCTATTATTTTCCAATAGATTCTTCAAATTTTCTCTTTCTTCGAAACAAACATACGAATTCACTTATAGACGCGTACATTTATCTATGCACGTACATACACTCAAACATATGTATATATACATGCACGCAAAATTGGGGAGGATCCCAATTGCCTACAAATTGATTGCTATAAAAGACCGTTTACCAATAAATCGTTTGCGCACAAATAATAAAATTTAGACACAAACGTAGATTTGCAACACACAATACTATTGTGCACAAGTTGCATTAAAATATCTGAAATATAATATTTTCATTGAAATCTATTAATATTTACCACCACTTTTTGTTCCGACAGTTCTACAGGAAAAGTATTAAACATGTGTTCCAGAGCTTTAAACATAGGATACCATGCTATATAATCTTCTTCTTGATGCAAATAGAATGTAATATTCCAGAATATAGAGGAATTGAGTTGCCCTGCTATCATTAAATGAAATGTATCATCGATAATTTGCGCACGATTAAGAACATGAATATTCATGTAATTAACAGAGTTTAGATAATTTGTTATTCTTCGCCAATTCTCATCATCATAGTTAACGCGATAATATCCTGTCGAATAGTAAATAAATTTTAACAACATTTTTATTGTTTTGAATAATTTTATCATAATATATCTTTAAATATTTTTATTTTGTACTTATTTTGTCAATTTTTTTTGTTTTTAATAATTTTGTCATTAATATATACTTATTTTCAAACTTATTTCAATTTTTGTTTTATACTTTCGTTTATATAAATTATAAATTATAAGTACGTACCAAAAATTTAATGCATATAAATAAAATGCAAATACATATAAAAAATTAATTATAAAAATGTTATCCTAATACTTGAAATAGTAGAAAAAATAAAACTGTGCAAGATACTGTTGTATAGTATAAAATGAAATTGATTCTAGTTGTACATAAATAATAATTATTTTTACTAATCAGTATAATTTCTGTAACATGTAATGTTACAAAAATTGTTTGTTACTTTGCACTTATTATTATATTAATTTTATAAATATAATTAACTTTTTAATAATTTTTATTATTACTAGCACAAAATACATATTTAGAAATATATAATTTTAATATTGATTGATATAATATAGAAAACACTGATGTATACCTTAATTATATATTAAATAATGCAGAACATTACACAAAACATTTTAAAACTATTTATAGTTATATGTAATAAATATTTCAGATTTTTATACGATAATAAATAAAATAGACAAAAATATAAAATAATATTAATTGTGTGTATGTATGTGTAAAATGAAGACGAGTAATAAGTCATAATAAGTCAATGATCGATATTTACCAATCTGTTGTATATTAAATATCATCCAACCATCCTCTTGAAAAGATAATAGTTTTGATTTTCTGCTTGAATTTGCGCATACCATGGAATATAAAAAATCGTTAAAATCGGGATACGTTTCTGTAGTATAAGTAATAGGTAAGCAATCAATCTCTAATTCATTAATATTTTCTATGGACCATCGGAAAAATGTTTCGTACACCGGATGACTATAATCTCGTATTATTTTTATGATAGGACAATGCTTTTCCAAATCCCAATTATGCAAGTAACGTAGATCATTATTTGTTTGTGATTCTGCAATTTCCCTCATAAAATTCATAAAACTTGGACGATGTAATTGGCTAAATTCACAAAAAATTTAAAATATGTAGAAAAACATTAAATATGTGAAAATTTTTTGTGTAATATTTATGTTATAAAACATTTCAATAAATACTAAGAAGCAAAATATAAAATTGCATTTCTCTTTATAAATTTATATATCTATTTATATATCTTATATTTATATTATGATAATAAAGAATATAACATAATTTTAAATGCAATTAAATAATATATTATTTAATTTTTCATTAAAGCACTAAAACAGATTATATTTGAACAAAATATTGGGAGAGTTATAAAATGATTTTGAACCATAACAAAACAAATTAAAAGAAAATAAAGACAAAACAAAAAAAAATCAGAAAAATAAGGAGGTAGATCTACGAGAGAAGAATAATAAAAAATGGAGAAGGTAATGGAAAAGAAATGTTAGATATTTAATAATCTGTTAAAAAAGATTAGAAAACAAATAAAAAATAGCAAAAGATGCAATTAAAAGAAAAGAAATTATAAGAATTATGGACAATATACATATATAAATAAAGGAAATTTTATTTTTTTATTAGTTATGTAATTTTATTTTTTTATATTATATTCTATATTGTATTACTCACTTGCTGTTTGTATATAAGCGAACGATTTTCCAAAATATTTGTTCGGTTAAGGCGTGTTGCATCATGCGCAGTATAAAGGGTGCTACGATTTAAATCAAAATTATATATATTAGATGTATTTTAAATATATATTTATTATAATGGTTGCTTATGAACATTGATTTTAGTGATTTTATAAAGAAAAATTATATATATATATATATATATATATATATATATATATATATGTATACAGGGTAGTAATTCGAAAACAAATAAAAAATAGCAAAAGATGCAATTAAAAGAAAAGAAATTATAAGAATTATAGACGATATACATATAGAAATAAGGGAAATAATAAAAAGAATAAAAAGAATAAAAATATCGCGTAAAAGTGAAATGTCTTTTATTGCCGTAACCCTTCATCATTCTATTTTTTAAATTTCTCATTAATTCTTACGAAGATAGAGAACCATTCGGTTAATCTCCTTTACCTACATATGTGCGGCTATTATCGGACACTTTGTGCGTGGAAGTGTGTGTATATGTGTATACATACACAAAAATTTTACATTTTAAAATATCTATACATAGTTTTCTTGAACAATTTATTTTAGGGAAAAACGGTTTTGATAAATTTGTATAATATCTAACGAAAAACAAGGGAACACTACTGGCTTTTTTTTAAAGAATAATTGCCAAAGTTATTTGAAAATCATTTAAGTTTTTTTTAAATGGGTCTACTTTAATTTTTTTATAAATCGATTTCTCGCAATATTCATTATGAAAACAATAAGTTGTAAGAATAAGATAATCACAAAGAGAATATTTAACAGAGTATTTTACATTAGAGAAAAATAGGTGAGAAAAATATAAGTTTTCTTTATATGTAAATTCGAGATTAATTTATATATGGAACTTAGTAATCTCAAACCAAGAGATACAGTTCCGAAAAATTAATTTTTCGCGCTTGGGCTCTATTGACCGATTTAAAAATTCATGTATTATAAATTTAAATATTAATTAAAGAATATAGATATACGTATCAACACACGGACATAAGCGCGCGCGTGAGTGTGTGTGTGTGTGTGTGTGTGCGTGTATGTCTGTACTATTATAAAATTAATATTTAATTATAATCCGTATATATAGAGAATTAATTATCTTATAACTTTACACATATTTTTATAATATTAATAAATGAAAATTTTTACGGACTATTTTATTATATTACGTTATACCTCTGATGAATTTGCGAATTGTCAATAAATTGTCATCTGATGAAGTAGAATTCCACGTATGAAAATCACCATCCAAATAAAAAGAAATATGTTGATTTTGAACAACAAATAAATTTATTATTCGATTATCTGGATAAATCTATAGGAAAAATAATTAATATATTGATATAACCGCTCTGAAAAAAACTTGCATTAGAAACAAATACTAATATATTTAGCGTTACTTTCATGTTAAAAAGAAATAATACTTTTTCATTTTGAAAAACATTCATGTACATAATAATAATCAAATCTAAAATTTTGTATTAATATAATTAGCAAATATTACATATTTTTATAGAATTATTATCTCATATTATATTGCAGATTTCTCTTTATCAAACTTATTTAAATAAATATAGTGTGTACTAATTTTTTATTAATTTATTTTATTTTAGATTTCATAAAAATTTGAAAATATCTAATAAATTGGTGTTAAAAAAATTTAAAAATTTTTAATATTTTACATTATAATTATATGTATGTAAATATTTGAAAAAAGTATTTTTTATGAAACAGTTTAGTATTACATATAATAATAAACTGTTTTTGAGATAATTTACATAGAATTTATACATTTTGCAAAAAGAGTTTAATTTACGAAAATCTTGCAATATAAATGCTTAAGTATTGCATCGTTTCCGAGAAACTGGGAACGAGATTGCGTTAAAAATATTTAGAACAACCTTATTAACACCATACGTTGCAATCAATGTAATAAGACCTTTATTAAGCCACAATTCTGACTGATTGTTCATTAGATCATAAAACCATTCTTGTGCCACTTTACATCCTACTAACTGAGCTATTTCGATGTCGTGAGCAACGGGATATAAACCTTTACTGCTGATGATATCTGTTTCCCTAAAAATTATATTTGAATGTTAAGATTGAGAACTTTCGTAGAAAATAAATCTTTATTTCTGTTACAATTTTTTAATTTTATTATTAGCGGTACGATTTCCAAATTTATGGGTATAATTTAGCAAACCAGTATTGTAAATCGTACCAACTTTAACATTTACCTTAGGGGATACGATTTATTTAGCATACAAACTTTCCCCTTTATGTATATATGAAAACGATAAACTTCAACTTTTTAAATTATACTTACGAATAAACTTAATTTTTATTGTTAGTACTTAAAATTGTTTGTTTTCACAATTTCTGTTATTTTCGAACGTTTACAGAAACAAATGATATACTTGTTTTTAAATTTTATTTTGCATACTATAATATAATTTTATTTTTAATGTAATTTTAAGCACTTGTACTCACTTATAAATAACAAGTCCAAAAAGTGTTATGTCATTGTCATGGAAATTTGGAATTGCAACATGAGTCACATTTGAAATATTTTTCGAACGTTGATACCATTTATTTTTGAACAACAACGTGATATTTTCAGCTAAATTTTTTGCAAATTCCAGGTGAAATCTAGATTCGTTTCTGCACCACATTTGAATGTTTGAAGTGTCATTATAAATATGTAATAGGTCATTAGACACAATCAGTGTTGCAAGATAGGGCGATATTGCAGGTGTGGTATCGAAGTGTGTCCATAATATATTATGCTCATTTTTTTCCGTATTTTGCATTGGCATATTTGACAAAGCTGTGCATTGATTACATCCTATAGAAATGTTAAAGGTTGTTTCTAACAATGACTCCTGTTGATCCTGACATGGAGACAATCGGCCAGTTATCTGGAAATGCGTAGTAGCTATCCAACTACATTTCAAAATATATAAATTAATGAGACTTTTTTGAGAAGCATAAAAATATTGAAAATTAAAAAACCTATAAATGTTATATGCGTCAACGCATAATATATTATGACTTTATTATATATTATTATAATAATTAAAGGTAAAGATTATTCGTCTTTACCCCCATAGCGAAAACATCAAATGGTATCATAGTGATGTGTTCTGGATGACATAACGAAATGCGAATGTCCGCTTTGTCACAAGTGTAATGTCATAATGATATCATTGTGACATCACACTTGTGACAAAGCGGACATTCGCATATCGTTATGTTATGACATCCAGAACATATCACTATGATATCACTGATGTTTTTGCTATGGGGGTATATATAAATTTCACGATATATAATAATTCTTGGGATATTTAATACATAAATAGTACATTTAATTACAATGGCATATTAATTAAAATAATATATTAATTACAATGTTTTATATTATTGCACATTGTACTTTTTTTAATAAACATTTATTATTTACTTACATATCTTTTTTTTTCACGTTAAAAATTGAGAAACTTTTATTAATCTCATAATATTTTATATTTAAAGTGTAATCTCCTAGTGATAAAACATCCATGAAGAAAAGAGTAATTTTGTCTTTAATAATTTTATATGTCAGTTTATAAGTTATTGTATCTTTATCATTCTTATGAGAGTTTTCTAAATTTTTAAATAAAACTATATCATTAATACATAATTTTGCTGAAGATAAATATATGTATTTCGTTTTTTTAAGAATTCTTATGCTGATATTGTATTCTCCATGGAAAATATTTCCTTCATTAAATGATATAAGCTTGATATCGTAATGGATTGGTTTTATATTTTTTGATGGTTGATAGCATAAAAATTCATTATGAATAGAAGCCGTCTCAGCGATAAACATTATTCCGCTACTTAATAATAATTTTAAAAATATCATCTTTTCAGAGAAAAGGAATATTTATTTTAGATCTATAAAACACAAAAGATAAATAGAAAAATTTAATACAGTTTTTGATGTCTGTTTTAAATCAATTTTGTATATAAACAAAAAAATAAGTTCAAAAAGTATTAAACTTATTAAAATTATATATACATATATATATACAATATATATATATATATATATATATATATATATATATATATGTATGTATGTATGTATGTATGTATGTATGTATGTATGTATGTATGTATGTATGTATGTGTACGTATGAATTTCAATGTCGCACATATTGTAATTGACAGCAATATACAAAAATTAAATTAACAGTACATATTTGATATTTTCTTCAAATAATTAATCTCATTTTTAAAAAATTATATACATTTAAAATCTATAAGAATATAAGTTAGAATATAAAGATTTATAGAATATGAAGTTAGTTGTTCAAAGCAAATTACATATAAATGTAAGTAACAATAAACACAAGACCCGTTATTCCTACATATATAAAAACCTGTGTTTATTCAAAATAAGAAGACAGTAGGCATAAGAAAGACTATAAGGAAGGAAAAAGCACATGTTTATTATTTTCCTTTAAAAGTATGTGTTACTTTTACTCGTAAATTGTGTATTATAAACTCTAAACGAACAATCATCGAGAATAAAATCAACATAAAATTAATAATCTTTATCAATGTTCATTTTATCAAATCTTTCTAATTGAAATATTTTTTTATATATTAATTATCACTATCAATATACATGTAACATTATTGTGTTTAACTGTAAAAGTAAAAATTTAATTTTAATTATTAAATTTAATTTAAATATCTGAAAACATTTCAACTTTAATAAAGTACCTTATTAAATCGATATAAACTATTGTTTACATATACATTTTGACCGTTTTATATAAAATATTTTATGTAAAAAATTTTACGTATAATATATAGTAATATTTAGTATTCTGTCTATTTCTAACTTATATAATTAATATAGTTCTACTTATTATTAAATATTATATTTACATTTATTTCTCATTTAACAAAATTAATTTTATACGATACCTCGCTCTTGTAAGAGGATATCACCTTTAAAAAAAGGTAAAAAAAGGCAACCAGTTAAGGGCACGCCATTAACAAAAATTATCCATTGCAAACCCATGTAGAATCCTATCCTATTGCAAACCCATGTAGTATCCTATGAAAAATTAATCATTGCAAACCCATGTAAAATCCTAGGCAAAATTAACCATTGCAAACCCATGTAGAATCGTACCCATTGCAAACCTATGTAGAATCCTATGAAAAATTAACCATTGCAAACTCATGTAGAATCCTATGAAAAATTAACCATTGCAAACCCATGTAGAATTGTATTAAAAATTATCTATTGCAAACTTATGTAGAATCCTACATTGCAAACCCATGTACAATAGAATTGTATGAAAAATTATCGATTATAAACCCTTGTACAATCGTAACAAAAGTAATGAAATAAAAAAAAAAATTGCGCCAAGTGAAAGTAGAAACTTGTACCAGTGGAAAATTAAAGTTGCAGACATATATAGAGTCGTATAATAAATCAGTAAAAATTTAAATTTGCAAATGTAGAATCGTACCATAAAAAAACTTATCTTTTAAAAAAAAAGATAAACAAGATGCCAAGTCCATGCGCCATGTGAAAAAGAAATAAAAAAATTTTAGTTAAAAAAACTGGGCGCGCTGCTAAGTTTCAAAATTACAATGCACCTTAAAGTAACATTAATTAATTTAAACACAAAACATATTTTAACTGTAATGAGTTTAAAAGTAACAATTTAATTTTAATATTGTTAGAATATTATTTAGCAGCGCTCCCAGTTTTTTTAACTAAAATTTTTTTATTTTTTTTTCACAGTGAGTGAGTGAGTGAGAATGAGAGAGAGAGAGAGAGAGTGTGTGTGTGTGTGTGTGTGTGTGTGTGTGTGTGTGTGTGTGTGTGTGTGTGTGTGTGTGTGTGTGTGTGTGAGAGAGAGAGAGAGAGAGAGAGAGAGAGAGAGAGAGAGAGAGAGAGAGAGAGAGAGAGAGAGAGAGAGAGAGAGAGAGAGAGTTAGCCAACATAAACCCGCACGCTGCCGATATGGCGGAGCGCCACTATCGCCATCTGTTGTAAAACGTGCGAGATGGACAAAATTACCACTACATGCATCTTGCATGTGTTGTGTACGTGTGATATATGTGTGCGCATGTGTTGTATACGTGTGAATACGTGTAACACGATACTACTATGTATGCGTGGTCGATGATGATAATGATGATAATGATGACGGGGACGTTTCTTAATAGAAATTTTTCATATTTCGACTTTGCATTTATATATCTCTGCTTACAAATCACGTAGAGCAGAAATAAAGACACTTTTATTATATAATTCGAACTCAATCTATCGATTAAGTCTAGTATAAACTCGATTGCTTCAGCCATTATTGAGGATTCGAAATATTATAAAGACTCAAATGTCCGACTCGCGTTAAGATACACGGTGTCTCCGCTACGCCCTTAACTGGTCGCGAGACACTACCGCGTCTCTTGATATCGAATACAAATTGCAAGGAATTGTCTACTATTTTATTTTTCTTAACGTACACATACTCACACATAATCATCTCTCATATACTAATATACTCATACATAATCTTTAACAACAAAAATTAATATTTGATTCTTCTTCTTGATTATTAGTTATTCTTCTAACTTAAATATTAGCACCACTCAAAAATCATTTTAAATGTTAAAATATGCACAGATATTTTTTATAAAAAATATGTACGACAAATTTTATAAAACAGTATTTTAATAATTGAGTAATAAAAGAATAATTAAAAGTGTCTATTATAATATTTATTATCTGTTATGTAAATTTAACATATTTTTAAGTTTCAAAAATAATTTATTCGATATAAAACTTTTGTGCGCCTAAGATTATTTCAACATAACAATTCGTAAAATATTATAATATCGACATTATTTGAAATTATCTCTGAATTAAAATTTAAAGAAAATTTTAAATAGAATTATTCTCTTATACTTATATGTTGGTAATTCTTTAAAATTCCGTTATACTGTACGATAAAATTCTTTTGTATTTGTAGACAAATATATATATTTTTTATTTTTAACTTATTTTGACTTACCTTTTATTTCGAAACAGTATGGTAATTGCAAAAGTATGTTGATAAAAATTATATTTGTTTAACAATTAACTGCTACAAATTGATACTCTAGCAGCATGCAATGTTGGAAGAATATAATATATTCACACACACTTTATTACACAAATATTATATTTATCACGATGTGCTCCGAAAGATCACTACAGACTGACTGATTCTCTGTACGGTTCATCAAAATAAATATGATGTGTTAAGTCAACAAAACTTCTGAGGTCGTTATACATATACATATAAATATATTTGTGTGTGTGTCGGCATTTATATAGAACAGTTATCTTAATTAAGCAATTTCAAATTTTGGCCAATTAATCAAATAAATAGGCATTATTTACAAATTTATATTACTTATTCCGAAAAAAATAAAATATATCATATTTTATTTCTTATTAAATATAATTATAATAACAAATTTAATAATACGTGGAATGCCCCATATATATATATATATATATATATATATATATGTTGTATATAGTCTAATTCCAGGTGGATATTTTCGCGATTTCGAGTCATCATTCGTGTAAGAATAATAAGAAAAATTTGTTATTTGCAAATGCATATTGTTTTTTTTATATAATTATATTTTTCTTGCATCAATTAATTTATCTCATTACTTTATGCAGGAAATTATTAGGTAAAATTATTAAAAAATGAATATATATTTACGAGATATTTCATATTTTTTTTAAAAAGAATATCAGGATAAAACATAATATATCTCATAAAGCATTCATTTTTTGACTATATGCAACTCTAACAATTTTTAATATTAAATACGAGGATTCGATTTAAATTTTTATATAAAACATTTTTGATAAAAGCTATGACTTTTGAGAAATTTTAACCCGAAAGTTAAAATGGGACACTCTGTTTTCTTATTTATATGTTGTTTGTTATAAAAGTTTATGATAATTTATAGATGTGTGTGTAATACAGATATTGATTATTGATTAAGACAAATATAACTTTTGTATTTAAATATTTAAATAAATTGTTTGCGCGTTAACATGTACGTTTGTGTTGACAAAAAATATTTACACTTAAGTTTTTTTATTAAAAATTTTTTTTTATTATATTATGCAATTGATCAGTCTAGACGATAAATTTTACGTTCTTAATTAATGGTTAAAAAACAATACATCATTCGATTAAATTGAAACAAGTTTGATGTTTGCATGTAAATTAAATTTTTTTCTATTTTCCTTGTAAACAAATGAATTTAATTGTAGAATATATACATAGTAATAGCTTTCTGTTAATTACTGCTTGTTATTCATCTTAAGTAGACTGCGAGATCAATAAATTATGTAAGGTTTTTTGATATCATACGTATCAAAATACAAATTAATTTTTTCACGTATACTTTTAATTCTTTATCACCATTCATTTTCAACGGTTTAGATTAATAAAATATATATCAAAAATATTTTTTTATCTATATAAATTAAAAAATACTTTAAATCTTAATTGTTATATTAAAAAAAAAATTCATTTTTTGGAAATGTAGAATATTTAATTATTTAATTTTTTTATTAATTCAAAATAGCTATTTTATTTGAACAACAATCAAGACATGATGTTAGATTTTTTACTTATGGCTGGTTTAGAGATTTTTAAATAAAAGAGCATATATTTCACATTAGAGTTTCAAATAAATAACTCATTACTTTCAATAAAGAGTAGAATATTATAGAATTAAATCACGCGTGTGTGTGTTTAGTAGAAAATTCGAGAAATCAAAAGAAAACAAAGAGAAATATGCAAATATCATTTATAATTTAATTTTATAATAAAAACTTATAAAATGTGTTTTATTTGAGTATTTATTATAAAACTTAATTAATAAATAAATGTGATATATATATATATATATATATATAATTTATATTTATACATTTGTATTTTTGTTTTATATCTAACAATAAAATATATATAGTAATATTATATGGTCTACTTGTGAATACAGGCAATAATATATATATAGTTGAACTACATCAAGTAAGTATACGCAAAGTAATAAAAAACTTGATGCATTTAGTCATAATGATTTGTAAATACAGTAGCATCAAATAGTAATATATCTAAATAAACAATAATAATTAAAGTAGTAAAGTAAATAGTACATACAATATAAAAAAATTATTCAAATGAAGTATATTTACTCATGCAAAGCTGTAATTTTTTATATTTTTTACCAAGGGAAAAATCGATCAAAATACTGTCTCTGTCTTTTGATTTGATTGTTGCGAATTGATAGCTTTCTTCGAATTTTGTGAGAATTCCGCAATATGTCCTAATATATATAAACAAAGATTAATAAAATTTATATACACTCTTTATATAATAAACAAAACAAATATAAAATTAGTATTCAGAAATTAATAAGATAGAACTAGGGATATGTCGGATAACCGGATAGTGAATTTGCCGGATAACCGGATAATTTGCCACTTTTGGCTAACGGATAATTACACGAAGAAACTGAAAAATTAAATTTAACTACGTTATACAGTAAAAAAAAGTTTTGTATATGTGTACATTTGTTATTACTTCACATAATTTAACTATTTTATGTTGATAATATTGATGATTTATTTAAATCATTTAAACGTTTAAACTTAATATGGCGTTAATATCTTGCTACACAATTAATATCACAAATTGAAGATGCAGTACTAATTCACAGAAAAAACAGTATCCTTGAGAGAATGCAAATATGCCTTGATTCAAGTATATTTTATCCTTATAATAGCACCAAATATAAATATTTTTGGATAAAGGATAATTTATCCTTAAAACAAAGTGCAAAATATTCTTGGTTAAAGCTGAAATTTACTTATAAATATTGCAAGGACAAGTGACAAGTGTGCATCGGATATAAGCGGTACTTTCAAATAAATATAATAATTCTTAGTTCAAATGTGACTAAGTTTGTTTTTACCATATACGATTTTTAAAACAAGAATATATCTTAAGGATAAAATATACTTTACACAAACTTATTTATTATTAAGGCAAATGAAAATTTGTGATTACAAAGAGCATTCTATGCTTAAATCAATCAAATAGCGTTCAAGAATAAAAATATACTTGAATCAAGGATTCCTTTTTTCTGTGTTGATAAATAATAATCTTAGGTATAATATTTCAAATTGATTACATTACATATTATATATATATATATATATATATATATATATATTAATATATAAACATATAAAAATTTAATAATTATAATAATTAAAGTTACAATTAAACAATAAAAGTATTTAGTTTTAATTAAATTGACTAAAATAACATATTTTAATCTGTAATATATCTGAATTTCATTTCATCCGGCCGGATAGCCGGATAGTTAATCTATCCGGATATTATTTGTAAAAAAGTAGCCCAATACCGGATACTTACCGCGGACATCCGGCACATCTCTAGATAGAACAATATTTCTTTTTCTTTCACTTTTTATAATAATATTTATTAAATTTACCTTTTCTATTCCATCAGCTGGGTTTGCGTTGACCTTCAATAACTTTTCAACGTATCTATTTATACTCTAAAATATATTATTTTTATGTATTATCAAAATTATTTTAAACATTAAATAATAATTATTAATATCGTATTATTATCACATTTTGTATACATATATAAACATGTCAAACTTTTACCTGAGTTTGATCTTCAGAATATACGTTATTAATAATAATAATTAATACTGCAGTTATATCAACCTGTCTATAAAATCGAAAAAAACAAATATGTATATAATACACGTAATAAATTTTTTATACAATATTTAAAAAAGTATATCACATTACCTTGGTTTTATGTCGTTAAAATAATCTAATATGTACTTCAGTATAATTTGATTCTTCGCATGCTTTGTAATAACATGTAAGAAACTGTTAAGAAGATATTGATATTCCTGTTTTGTAGAATTGTTTATATAATTTAAATAATCGGTGATGACATCAGTATCTTCAGGGCAAGCCAAGTATTCTAAAAATTTAGTGTCAGATTTTTCCAATCCTATTTTATACACTAATTGCCAAGAGATCTTTTCTTTGGTAGTTATCATCAAACCTTTACAATATGTCCAGTCCTTCCACCATGGCAAAAGTCTATAACATAACAAAAAATTAAATTGTTGTATTAAAGATAAGCATATGAATATCTTGATCAAATCATTTAAACATTATAAGCGATACCTACAGAAGAATTTGATTAGGAAAGGCTAAAAATATATAACAACATTTACTTGCGTTTTGTAGGATCTTGAAGATGTTGTTTTAAAATTTTGTTGGCTTCTTTTTTACAATCGATGTCACCGAGAAAACATGCCCATCTTGCAGCTTCTTGTCGTAAACATATTCTAAGTTTGTCACTATCATCAATTTCATCATATTTGATTATTTCAAGTACTTTGTACAATGCTCTCATTACTGTAGACTAAAAATCATTAAATATATATTTCTTTGTTCATATTATAAATGTATTTAAAAATTATTATATTTTTCTATTATTTATCAAGAGATTCTTCAAATTTTCTTTTTTATGAAATAAATATACATACAAATTTACTTATAGACGCGAAAGTTTATTAATGCGTTCAAATATATACATACATGTATGCAAAAAATATGGTTTAATTTGTACAAAATGTTTATAATATTTAAAAGATATTAGAGTTTTATAACTATTTATTAATCATATTTTATTTTTAAATAAGGTAATAAATATTATTCGTTTTGAAATATATAATAAATTTTTTCAACTATATATATGTTTTATTTTTTATTAATTACTAACATTATAATATTGATAAGAAACTAATATAATAGCATTCATTGACACAAATTTTAAGCGCTGCTTTATATATCCAATAACAATGTTATATACCGCAATAATATTGGCAGTAGTGAAAGTCATAGACTTTTCGGACAGTTCTTCGGATGAGTGATTATTCAAACTTAATTTGTTTGCGACGTAATAGTATGTAAAATTTTATCGTTACTGGATATATTTATCTGAGTATTTAAATTATTTGTGATCAATGAGTGTAATATGCAAATATTTAAAATGTAATATTTTCATTGAAATTTATTAATTTTTACCGTAATATGTTTATCTATTTTTGTCAATATTGGAAAAGTATTATACATGTATTCCAGAGCTTTAAACATAGGATACCATGCTATATAATCTTCTTCTCGACGTAAATACTTTATGATATTCCAGAATCTACGAGATTGGAGTTGGCCTGCTATCATTAAATGAAATGCATCATCGATAATTTGGGCACGATTAAGAACATGAATTTTTGTGTAATTACGAAAGTTTAAATAATATGAAATTTTTTCCCAGTTCTTATCATCATAGTTAACGCGATAATATCCTGTCAAATAGTAAATAAATTTTGTCAATTTTTTTTATTTTAATAATTTTGTCATCAATATATACTTATTTTCAAACTTGATTCAATTTTTATTTCATATTTTCGCTTATATAAATTATAAATTAAAAAAGTATCAAAAATTTTATACATATAAATAAAATTCAAATATATATAGAAAAATAATTATAAAAATGTCATCTTAATACTTGAAATAGCAGAGAAAATGAAATTGTGCAAGATGTTGTATATCAGAAAATAAAATTAATTCTAATTGTGCAAATAATAATTATTTTATGCTAATCAATATAATTTCTGTAACATGTAACGTTACGAAAATTGTATGTTACCTGCACTTATTGTTATTAATTTCATAAATAATAATTATCTTTTTAATAATTTTTACTATTATTAGAATAAAATATTTGTAAAAATGTAACATTAATATTAAAAAAGTAACACTTTTCTCTCGATTAATATTAAATGATATTATTTAGAAAACGCCTACGTATATCTTAAATATAATATTGTATATGTATATAATAATTCAGAATATTACACAATACATTTTAAAACTATTATTATAGTTATATAATGAATATCTCACATTTTTATAAGACAGTAAAAAAATAGATAAAAATATAAAATAATGTCAATTATAAACCACAATATACATCTCCTCCTTCTCGGCCATAGAGCCAAACGCGATGTTATTGCAAAATTTGAGCAAGAAAATTAAGAAATTTGGGAATTTGTATCCTATGGTTGGAATCTCAAAAATTCCTCTTGTTCCTCTTTTAACTTCCTCTGTAAAGAAATAGGCGAGAAAAATATTGGTCCAAAAGTTGGCTAAATCGAAAATCGAACCCGATATATTGCTTAAATTTCGCAATAACATTGTGTTAAGGAAAAGGTGTACATATATTGTGGTTAATATTAAAAAGAGCCGATTTAATATTCTTATTATTGTGATGCCAATTATGTGTGTGTAAAATAAAGACGGGAAATAAGTCATAATGATTTGTCGATATTTACCAATTTGTTGTAAATTGAATATCATCCAACCATATTCTTTATATGGTAATGATAATCTCAATGGTGCTAGTAAACGTTTAATTTCCCATCGCTTGCATAACAAATGATGAGTAAAATTGTTAAAATCGGGAGACGTTTCCGTAGTAAAAGTTATAGGAATGCACTCAATTTTTAATGTGTCGGTATTTTCTATCCATACAAATGTTCGATTCTTAGGATCATCATAATTTCGTTCTACTTTAATAACAGGACAATGCTTTTCCAAATCCCAGTTTTTCATGTGCGAGATGTGTCCAGCAATATATATATTTATTGTTGAAGCAACATCTTTCATAAGCTCCATAAAGTCTAGATGGTGTGATGAGCTAAATTTACAAAGTATGTAAAATATATTAAAAAACATTACAAATATGTTAAAATTGTGTGTATATTGTTCATATTATAAAAAAATTTAATAAATACTAAGAAACAAAATATAAAATTGAATTTCCACACAATTATTTATTTATATATCTTATATTTATATTCTGATAATAAAGAATATAACTTGTAACAGTAAAATTGTGTAGCTCTTGTCGCCAGGAATAATGAAAATTATAAATCAAAGTATTTAAGCCACGAAATACATTAATTTTAACATATTGTTTGTTTAATTACGCAGTGCTAAGTTTTTTAATTTTTTAATTTAAAAAATTTTTTATTTTCTAATTTTTTTTAATTTTTAATTTCTATATATTTTTAAAAATTTTAATTTCTATATATATATTTTTTTAAATTTTTTAATTTCTATTTTTTTTATTTTTAATTTTTTTAATTATTGCAAATTTTTAATATTATTTTTTGTAGGATGTAGGAAATTGAAAAATTATTTTATATATAACCTTTTTGGTTAATTAAATAAAATTAAAATATTTTAAAGTTTTTATTTTTATTTAGCATAACTTTTTTATATTATTAATTTTTGTAGGATAGGTTTTTACAAAGACATTACGCGGACTTAGCACCTAAAACTAGTACACACATATGTGCGTAAGCATATATACAATTTACAAAAAGTGGGTGCTTATTAGTCTTGCTACGTTACTGCCTTCTACTACGGAAGGCCAGAAAGTATTTTCAGGCCGTATCTCGCGTATACCGGCACGATAGATGAACAAAGATAACACATGATTATCGGTTCTTGTCTCTCTACAGTGCGTCCGCGTGAGCAATGCAATGGTGTATGTACGTGTACAGACATGCACCACTACATAAAACCCGAGAATTGATTTCTCAGCGTTGGCAACACTGGAAACAGAGTTTCGCGTTGTCAACGCGTCAGGTCTCTAATATCAATTCGGAGTCTGGCCAGGCCTTCTGCCGACCCTCAAATAGAAATATTATGAAATAATGTCAGAAAAAAACAAAAGAAAATAAGGGACATTATATAAAAATTTTATTATTATACATTATTTACGTTCCACAATTTTATTTTTTTTATATTACATTCTATATTGTATTACTCACTTGTTATCTAAATATGTGTTTATGCCTATCTGAAATATTTCTTCTGTGAGGACGTGTTGCATCATGCGCAGTATAAATGGTGCTATAATTTACATCAAAATTATGAATTAAATATATTATAAATATATATTAACTATAATAGTTACTTATAAATATAGTGATTTAAAATAAAATTATATTGTATATGTATAAAGGGTAATTGCCGCGGAAGAGTAAAATGTTTCTTTATTGCCGTACTTTTTATCATTCTATTTTATAACTATATTTCTCGTTAATACTTACGAAGATAGCAAAACTTTAAAGGACCATTCAATTAATTCCCTCTATCTACATATGCGCGGCTATATTACCGGACACTTTTGAGTGAGTGAGTGTGTGTGCTGTGCGTGAGCGTGTGCGTGAGCGTGTGCGTGAGCGTGTGCGTGAGCGTGTGCGTGAGCATGTGCGTGTGCGTGTGCGTGTGCGTGAGCGTGTATTTGTATGTGTGTGTGTGCGCGCGTACTTTTATAAAAATAAAATTTAATTAAAATCCAGATAAAGAATTAATTATTTTCTAACTTTACATTTTTTTTTAAATAATAAGAGTTAAAAATTTATGCGGACTATTTAATGTAGAATCCTATGAAAAATTAACCATTGCAAACTCATGTAGAATCCTATGAAAAATTAACCATTGCAAACCCATGTAGAATTGTATTAAAAATTATCCATTGCAAACTTATGTAGAATCCTACATTGCAAACCCATGTACAATAGAATTGTATGAAAAATTATCGATTATAAACCCTTGTACAATCGTAACAAAAGTAATGAAATAAAAAAAAATTGCGCCAAGTGAAAGTAGAAACTTGTACCAGTGGAAAATTAAAGTTGCAGACATATATAGAGTCGTATAATGAATCAGTAAAAATTTAAATTTGCAAATGTAGAATCGTACCATAAAAAAACTTATCTTTTAAAAAAAAAGATAAACAAGATGCCAAGTCCATGCGCCATGTGAAAAAAAAATAAAAAAATTTTAGTTAAAAAGACTGGGCGCGCTGCTAAGTTTCAAAATTACAATGCACCTTAAAGTAACATTAATTAATTTAAACACAAAACATATTTTAACTGTAATGAGTTTAAAAGTAACAATTTAATTTTAATATTGTTAGAATATTATTTAGCAGCGCTCCCAGTTTTTTTAACTAAAATTTTTTTATTTCTTTTTCACATGGCGCATGGACTTGGCATCTTGTTTATCTTTTTTTTTAAAGGATTCTACATGAGTTTGCAATGGTTAATTTTTCATAGGATTCTACATAGGTTTGCAATGGGTACGATTCTACATGGGTTTGCAATGGTTAATTTTGCCTAGGATTCTACATGGGTTTGCAATGATTAATTTTTCATAGGATTCTACATGGGTTTGCAATGGTTAATTTTGCCTAGGATTCTACATGGGTTTGCAATGATTAATTTTTCATAGGATTCTACATGGGTTTGCAATAGGATAGGATTCTACATGGGTTTGCAATGGATAATTTTTGTTAATGGCGTGCCCTTAACTGGTCGCCTTTTTTTACCTTTTTTTAAAGGTGAGTTTTTAGAGATTATATCATTCATTTTTGTATATTTTTATGACCGGAATAGAACAATTATTAAACATGTTTATCTAAACTTCTTTGCTTAAAATGATGTGTACAATCATATCCTAGAATCCTGATCATTCCTCCTAAAGCACCCTATTTATATAAATTTACCCATATGTGTGTGTGTGTGTGTGTGTGTGTGTACTAATGTCGAGCATTTTTTATACATTTTCTATTAAATTTAGATAAAAGTTGCAGGATTTCGAAAAAGAAAAAGTTGACACAGACTTTTTCCTAAACGGCGATTTTCAAGGTTATTTAAAGGTCACTTATATTTTCAAAATAGAATTACCTTAATTTTTCTCATATAAATCGATTCCTCGCAATATTTACTATAAAAAGTTGTAAAGGTATAATTTTTACATAATCTTACATAAACTTCGAAATATTACAAATATTTTATTTTATGAAATATTTCAGTTTATGTAAAATTATGTTAACTATCTTTTAAATTATTCACTTTTAGCCATCTTACCCTTACAACCTTTTATAGTGAATATTGCAACAAATTGGTTTATATATATAATATATATATAACATCAGTTATTATTAATTGATGTTTACATTTATTTTTAGACTTACTAGAGCTCAAATGCTCCACATTTTTTGCAAAAACTGTTTATTCTACAGATTTCAAATATGCTTTTAAATGATGATTGAATATTTCCTTTTTTTAATTATTTTTATTATTATTTTTCAATCTCAATCAACTTTTATAACTTTATGCCAGCACGATACAAATACATGTGTCTTTATTTTTTTTATTATTTTCATTATTATTTTTCAATCTCAATCAACTTCTATAACCTTATGCCAGCAGGATACAAATACATGTATGTCTTTATTATTGTATCAACTCTTGTCTTTTCCATGTAACCATGTCTTCATAGTTTGAATTATCCCTTCATCTTCTCAATCTTTCGCAGAGATTTAATTAATTAAATACACTTCACACGAAATAAAGTTTGCTGGAAGATATACAGCAAACGATAACTGTAAAAACATGATTACGTGGAAAGAACAAGAGTTGGTACAGTAAAGGCAAGTAAGTAAGTACATGTAATGTATCGTATTGGCATAACGCTATATCCGCGGAGCAGATAATGTGGCTGTAGAGGTAGTCTGCAGTGCAGCTAATGTGGACGTAGATGTTGATTGAGATAATTGTCTAATATAAAATAGAATTTAAAAATTTAGTTTAAAAAGCTGTTGCATATATAAATAAAGTTTATTTTTTCTAAATTTGGAATATGTTTAATTAATTAATTTTTTAAGTCTATGTTTAATAAATTTTTTAAGTCTGTATTCAATATTCATTTTATTCATTTGATAAATACATGTATGTCTTTATTTTGATATGTTTAATATAATTAGAAATTCATTATTAATTAGATATGTAAACTATAAATTCATATATAATATTTGAAAATATATGTGAATATTTAAATTTTTATCTTCTCCTTCCTCTCCTTCAATCTCTTTAATATCAATATGTGTATGTGTGTACACGCGCGCACATTTGTACGTATTTATTTAATTATTGGATAGTTGAGAGTACTTAATTGATAAAAAATTATGACAATAATAATCCTTTTGTTTTTTTTTCTTATTATTTACTCAGATTTTTTTATCTATCTTATAAGATAAACACTTTAGAGATTGAATATTTCAAGTAAACTAATTGTAAGTAAATTTCACATTAATGCATATAGATGTTTAATCATGAATGTACTAAATAAGTACACAAGACGAACAATGAGTGAGTGAGTGAGAATGAGAGTGTGTGTGTGTGTGTGTGAGAAAGAGAGAGAGAGAGAGAGAGAGAGAGAGTTAGCCAACATAACCCCGCACGCTGCCGATAGGGCGGAGCGCCACTATCGCCATCTGTTGTAAAACGTGCGAGATGGACAAAATTACCACTACATGCATCTTGCATGTGTTGTGTACGTGTGATATATGTGTGCGCATGTGTTGTATACGTGTGAATACGTGTACCACGATACTACTATGTATGCGTGGTCGATGATGATGATAATAATGATGACGGGGACGTTTCTTAATAGAAATTTTTCATATTTCGACTTTGCATTTATATATCTCTGCTTACAAATCACGTAGAGCAGAAATAAAAACACTTTTATTATATAATTCGAACTCAATCTATCGATTAAGTCTAGTATAAACTCGATTGCTTCAGCCATTATTGAGGATTCGAAATATTATAAAGACTCAAATGTCCGACTCGCGTTAAGATACACGGTGTCTCCGCTACGCCCTTAACTGGTCGCGAGACACTACCGTGTCACTTGATTATACTACATACCTCTGATATAATTGGGTATTTCCAATGAACTATTAACTTTTGAAGTAAGATTCCACATATGATAATCACTATCCAAATTAAAAGAGTAATGTTGACTTTGAACAACATATAAATTTATTATTCGATAATCTGGATATTTCTATGGAAAAAAATAATTAATATATCGATATATCCGTTCTGAAGAGATACTTGCATTAAATACAAATAATAATATTATTAACGTTACTTCATTATTAAAACGAAACACTTTCTCATTTTGGGAAACACACACACACATTAAAATAAATATAATATTAAAATCTAAAATTTTGTATTACTATAATTAGCAAATATTACATATTTTTTAAATTATTGTCTCAAGATATTATATTGCAGACCTCTCTTTATCAAGTTTATTTAAATAAATATCGTGTGTACTACGTGTTTTTGATTAATTTATTTTATTTTTAATTTCATAAAAATTTAAATATAATAAAATAGTGTTAAAAAATATAAATTTTGAATAAATTAAATTATAATATTATATGTATGTAAATATATGTAAAAAAAGCATTTTTCAAAAAACAGTTAATTATTTTATATGTGTAATGTTAAACATTTTTAAGACAATTCACAAAGCATGCGTATAGATTTTGTAAAAAAAGTTTGATTTAAAAAGATTTTGCAATATGAGTACTTAAGTATTGTATTGTTTGCAAGAAATTGGAAGCGAGATAGCGTTGAAAATATTTAGAATAACCTTATTGACAGCATACGTTGCAAACAATGTAGTAAGACCTTTTTTAAACCAAAAATCTGACACTAACGGATTATTCATCATGTTATTAAACCATTGCTGTGCCACTTTTCGTCCTACTAATTGAGCTACTTCGATCTTGTGAGCAATAGGATATACATTTTTATCGTAGATGATATCTGTTTCCCTGAAAGTAATATTTAAATGTTAAGACTGAAAACTTTTATAGAAAATACAATTTTATTTTTGTTATAATATTTTAATTAAATTGTTAGATATACGATTTACAAACTCATGGGTACAATTTAGCAAATCAGTATTGTAAATCGTACCAGATAATATTCTCTTTAATTTTTAATTTAAGTATGAAAAAATGATTTTGTGTTAATGCATATATCATTGATAAAAAATTATAGTTTTAAATGAATAAAAAAATGTCATTATACTTTTATACCTTTATTACTATTTTAACATTTACCTTACGGATACGAGTTAGCACAAAATCTTTTTTTTATGTATATGTATACTATAACGATAAACTTCTACTTTTTGAATTAAATGAATAAACTTAATTCTTGCTATTTAAAATTGTTTGTTTTAACAATTTCTGTTACTTTTGAATATTTACAGAAACATAAAGAATATACAAGTTTTAAATTTGATAAATTTTTATACTAATATAATTTTGTGCAACCGGCGCGCGAAAAGTCGCCCTTTCCGCACATGATGAAATTTTAGAAAGAGCTTCCTTTCCACGTACCGGTCACACAAAATATCGTAGCCATCATGTACGATCCCCCGCACTTGTTAGTTAATAGTATATTAGCTAACAAGTGCGGGGGATCGTAAATCGGCCGAAAGTGCAGAAGTTTCGCGCACGAGGCGAAGCCGAGTGTGACAATTCGCACAATCGGCCGATTTATGACCCGCACATGTTGGCTACAATATTTTGTGTAATCGGTGCGTGGAAAGAAAGCCCTTTTTAAAATCCCATCATGTTCGTAAAGGGCGACTTTTCGCGCGCCGGTTGCACAATATACTATTATTTTTAATGTAATTTTAAGTTGTACTCACTTATAAAACACAAGTCCAAAAACTATTGTGCCATCGTCATGAAAATTTGGAATTGCAACATAAGTCACGTTTGAAAGTTTGTTCGAACGTTTCCATTTTTGTTTGAAAAACAACGTGATATCTTCAGCTACATTTTTAGCAAATTTCATGTGAAATCCAGTATTGTATCTGCACCACATTTGAATGTTTCGATTTTTCATATCAAGAAAAAATAGGTAGTTAGACATAACCATTGTTGCGTGATGAGTCAATATTACAGGTGTGGTAACGTAGTGTTTCCATACCAAATTGTACTCATCACTTTCTGTATTTCGCAATGGCATATGTGACAAAGTCGTACAGTTATGACATGCTAAAGAAATGTTAAAGGTTGCTTCTAACCAAAAATCATGTGGATGCCAACATGGAAACACTTGACGGGCGTCTACTATCTGGAAATGTGGAGCACCTACCCAACTACATTTCAAAGAACATAAATTAATAAAACTTTTTCACAAGCATATAAATATTGGGAATTAAAAAATGTATAAATGTTATATGCGTCGACACATTAAATTTTATGACTTTATTACATATTATTATATATAATAATAAAGGGGTAAAGATTCTTCACCCTTAGATTTAAATTTCGCGATATAAAATAATTTTTGGAACATTTAATACATGAATAGTATATTAATTACAGTGTCTTATGTAATTGCACATTGTACCTTTTTTAACGAACATTTATTATTTACTTACGTGGTTCTTTTCTTCATGTCGAAAATTCTGAAGCCTTTATCAGCAGTACCAAAGTATTTTATATTTAAAGTGTAATTTCCTGGTGATAATTCTTTCATAAAGGAAATATCAATTGGGTCTTCTTCAGTATCATATGTCGGTCTATAAACTGTTTCTTCATCATTTTCATGATATTTTTTGAAATTTGTAATTAAAACTATATTGTCAATACATAATTTTTCCGAATATAAATATATGTGTTGCGTTTTGTTACGAATGTTTATGCTGATATTATATTCTCCATAGAAAATATTTGCTTCAATAAATGATGTAAGCTTGATATCATAATGCATCGGTTTTATATATTCTGATATTCGATAGCATAAAGATTCATTACGAATGAAAGCCGTTACAGCAATAAAAATTAATCCGCTACTTAATAATAGTTTTAGCAATATCATCATGTCGAAGGAGAGAAATAATTATTTTAGATCTGTAAAACACTCTGTGGACAAAATATGAATAAAAAAATTAAATATAGCTTAGATGTCGTTTTTAAATGATTTTTGTATATAAACAACAAAATAAATATAAAAAATATTATAATTATTATTGAAAAACCATCCTAATTAGTAAAATATTATACGGTATGGAAGCAACGTGCAAATTTTTATTTGCACAATTTTTTAAAATAAAATATATATGTATATGTATGTGTGTATTTCATTGTCGCACAAATTTTAATTGACAGCAGTACAAAAATATTAAATTTAAAACATATTCTATATTTTCTTGAAATAATGGTTCTAATTGTCAAAAATTATAAATATTTAAAATTTACAGATTATTATATAGAATATAAAGATTTATAGTATATAAACTTATATAGTTGTCTGAAGTGAATTACTTTTATAAACACAAGAGCCGTTATATCTACATACATATAGACCTGTATACATTCAAAATAAGAAGAAGTCAGTAGAGGTAAGAAAGACTGAGGATCGGCGAGAAAGAGAGAGTGAGAGAGTGAGAGAGAGAGAGAGAGAGAAAGAAAAAGAGCATATGTTTATTATTATGTTCCTCTAAAGGTCTGTTTGACTTCTTCTCTTAATACCATACATGTATTATAAACTCTAAACAAATAATCACCGAGAATAAAGCCAACATAAATTCAATTTCAAATTGTATAAATTATATACACTTGATAATAAATATTTTATAAGATGTCTTAAAACTAGCAATACAGCTGTTAAAAGAAGATATCTGAGATTATTTAGAGATTTCTACTCAACGAAAATGTCGAAGTACCAATAAATATCGAGTTATAAGAGATTGAAAATAAATGGTGTTTCGCAAACTAAGTCTTGTGGAAATAAAATATTAACAATATCACATTTGTCTATTAATATCGAATCAGGTATATCGTTATTGGAATTTTTATTTGAGGTTTAATTACAACATACATGATGGAAATTTTGGGAACATACAAAAAATGTTAGTCTACCTCGACATTTTTGCAAAGAAAAATTGACTCCAAATAATCATAGAAATTTACTATTAACAGATTTACTACTATTTCTAAGATTCCTTTATATATAATGCTGTTTTTTCAGATATTTCAGATTAAACGCATAAAAATAAATGTGTTTAATGATTGCTTCAAATCTAAAATATTATGGATTTCTTTATTCGATTGACAATTAGTATGTCTTGTCATTTTACTCGATAATATCTACTTAATAAATAATTATTAAAATGATCTCTAGATTAAAAAAGATAATTTTGAATTAAACTATTCTCTTTATTCTTATACATATGTTGAAATTCTTTAAAATTCCGTTATACTGTACGATTATTTTTTTTGTATTTGTAGATACATATATATTTTTATATTTTAAATTTATTTTGATTTATCCAATATTTCGAAACAGAATGTTAATTGGAAAATTATATTGATTAAAACTATATTATTTTAAAAATTACTTGCAGCAAATTAATGCTTTAGCAGTATGCAATGTTCGAAGAATATAATTATTCACACACACTTTATTACTGAAATATTGTCTCCACCACGATGTGATTCGAAAGACCACTAAAGACTGACTGATTCTCTGTACGTGTCATCATGATAAATACGATGTGTTAGGTCAACAAAGCTTCTGAGGTCGTTATACATGTATAAATATATTTGTGTGTGTGTCGGCATTTATATGAAACAATTATCTTAATTAAACACTTTCAAATTTCGGCCAATTAATCAAATACATAGGCATTATTTACAAATTTATATTACTTATTCCGAAAAAAAAAAATATATTATATTTTATTTCTTATTAAATATAATTAATAACAAATTTAATAATACGTGGAATGTTCCATATACATATATATATATATATATATATATATATATGTTGTATGTAGTCTTATTCCAGGTGGATATTTTCGCGATTTCGAGTCATCATTCGTGTAAGAATAATAAGAAAAATTTGTTATTTGCAAATGCACATTGTTTGTTTTATGTAATTATATTTTTCTTGCATCAATTAATTTATCTCATTATATGCAGGAAATTATTAAGTAAAATTATTAAAAAATGAATATATATTTACGAAAAATTTCATATTTTTTTTAAAAAGAATATCAGGATAAAACATAAAATATCTCATAAAGCATTCATTTTTCGACTATGCAACTCTAACAATTTTTAATATTAAGTACGAGGACTCGATTTAAATTTTTATATAAAACATTTTTGATAAAAGCTATGACTTTTTGAGAAATTTTAACCCGAAAGTTAAAATGAGACACCCTGTTTTCTTATTTATATGTTGTTTGTTATAAAAGTTTATGATAATTTATAGATGTGTGTGTAATACAGATATTGATTATTGATTAAGACAAATATAACTTTTGTATTTAAATATTTAAATAAATTGTTTGCGCGTTAACATGTACGTTTGTGTTGACAAAAAATATTTACACTTAAGTTTTTTTATTAAAAAATTTTTTTATTATATTATGCAATTGATTAGCCTAAACGATAAATTTTACGTTCTTAATTGATGATTAAAAAACAGTACATTATTCGATTAAATTGAAACAAGTTTGATGTTTGCATGTAAATTAAATTTTTTTTTATTTTTCTTGTAAACAAATAAATTTAATTGTAGAATATATACATAGTAATAGCTTTCTGTTAATTACTGCTTGTTATTCATCATAAGTAGACTGCGAGATCAATAAATTATGTAAGGTTTTTTGATATCATACGTATCAAAATACAAATTAATTTTTTCACGTATACTTTTAATTCTTTATCACCATTCATTTTCAACGGTTTAGATTAATAAAATATCGATCAAAAATATTTTTTTATTTATATAAATTAAAATAATAATTTAAATCTTAATTGTTATATTAAAAAAGAATTTATTTTTTAGAAATGTAGAATATTATTTATAATTTAATTTTATAATAAAAACTTATAAAATGTGTTTTATCTGAGCATTTATTATAAAATTTAATTAATAATATATATATATATATATATAATTTATATTTATACATTTGTATTTTTATTTTATATCTAACAATAAAATATATATAGTAATATTATATGGTCTACTTGTGAATACAGGCAATAATATATATATATATATATATAGTTGAACTACATCAAGTAAGTATACGCAAAGTAATAAAAAATTTGATGCATTTAGTCATAATGATTTGTAAATACAGTAGCATCAAATAGTAAAATATCTAAATAAATAATAATATTTAAAGTAGTAAAATAAATAGTACATACAATATAAAAAAATTATTTAAATAAAGTATATCTACTCCTGCAAAGCTGCAATTTTTTATATTTTTTACCAAGGGAAAAATCGATCAAAATACTGTCTCTGTCTTTTGATTTGATTGTTGCGCATTAATAGTTTTCTTCGAATTTTGTGAGAATTTATCTGCGATGGGTCCTAATATATACATATAAACAAAAATTTGCACAATAAAATCAATATACTCTTTATATAATAAACAAAACAAATATAAAATTAGTCAACAACTAAAAAGCAATAAGAGCTAATTAAATTCTATCAATTAGTAATTTATTTGTGAAAGGATGTATAACATATTAAATATCAGACAGAAATAAATTCGTTCAAACGTTTCGGTTGTCTTTTCCAACCTTCTTCAGCGTATACAATTAAAATTCGAAGTTAATAAAATTTAACAATAAATTACTTATAAATGTCATTATACTAAAACTATACAGAGTCAAGATATTTTATTTTAATTAAGCGAAAACAACGCATTTGTAAAGCATGAGCATTATTTATATATAAACTATTCTTCAAAACGTCATTATATGTGATTGTCGCGAAACGGACCTCTCACTAATTGTTCTGTAATTGTTAGGAAGTCGGTTGCGAATCTCGATAACTGCCATTGTTAATATGTCTATAAAATCATTATGTACGAAAATTAACAATGCAGATAAATAAAAATAAAAAATAGACTTACAGTTAAATCAAGTGAGATAAAATCTTTGACGTGAAGGCTTTCAGATGTTGATTGTTCAAGCTTGCTATAATTAACGAATGGTTCTAAACGCTCAAAAAGACGACCGCAAAGTGAGAAAAATAGTTCGTTGTTTATGTTTTTTAACTTTCAAATCTTAGATAGTCTATGTATAATATTGTCATAAACTACTGGCAAGCCATAAATATCTGTTTTTGAATTGAGACTGTTATTTTGCCTTTTTATAAATATCATTTCTGTAATCAATCTTTTGTTATAATGTAATTCTTTATCAAATACTTTTACATCGTCCCAACAAAATACATGATTATATTTTAATCTATGGTCAATGATTACAGATTTTTTTACAGAGACAACCGAAACGTTCGAACGAATTTATTTCTGTCTGATAATTAATATGTTATACATCCTTTCACAAATAAATTACTAATTGATAGAATTTAATTAGCTCTTATTGCTTTTTAGTTGTTGATTAATTTATTAAAAAGCTGTTACAAATTATATAAAATTAGTATTCAGAAATTAATAAGATAGAACTAAAGATGTGCCGGATAACCGGATAGTGAATTTGCCGAATAACCGAATAATTTGCCACTTTTGGCTACCGGATAAACGGATAATTACACGAAGAAACTGAAAAATTATATTTAACTGTGTTTTAAAGTAAAAAAAAGTTTATATTTATAGATACGTGCACATTTGTTACTATTTCACATAATTTAACTATTTTATGTTGATAATATTGATGACTCATTTAAATCATTTATACGTTTAAACTTAATGTGGCGTTAATATCTCGCTACACAATTAATATCACAAATTGAAGATGCAGTACTATTGATAAGATGCAGTACTAATTGATAAATAATAATCTTAGGTATAATATTTCAAATTGATTACATTACATTACATATTATATATATATATATTAATATATAAACATATAAAAATTTAATAATTATAATACTTAAAGTTAAAATTAAACAATAAAAGTATTTATTTCTAATTACATTGACTAAAATAACATATTTTAATCTGTAATATCAGTATTTCATTAAACGTTCGATTAATTTAACTAAATAAATAAATATTTTTATCAGTCATTCTTAATTTGTATACAGTTATATATGTGAATGTAAATTAATTTTTGTTCAGTTTATGTAAATTTTTTAACGTTTTATTTTAATTTATTATTCATTATATTTAACATTTTAATTTTGAATCACTAGATCGGTTGGATTGTGGAAAATAATTTAAATAATCGATTAATACTGAATAGTCGGATACTTACCGGCTATCCGGCCGGATAGTTAATCTATCCGGATATTATTTGTAAAAAAGTAGCCCAATACCGAATACTTACCGCGGATATCCGGCACATCTCTAGATAGAACAATATTTCTTTTTCTTTTGCTTTTTATAATAATATTTACTAAATTTACCTTTCCTATTCCATCAGCTGGGTTTGCGTTAACCTTTAATAATCTTTCAACGTATCTATTTATACTCTAAAATATATTATTTTTTTGTATTATCAAAATTATTTTAAACATTAAATAATAATTATTAATATCGCATTATTATCACATTTTGTATACATATATAAACAAGTAAAACTTTTACCTGAGTTCGATCTTCAGAATATACATTATTAATAATAATAATTAATACTGCAGTTATATCAACCTGTCTATAAAATCGAAAAAAACAAATATGTATATAATACACGTAATAAACTTTTTATACAATATTTAAAAAAGTATATCACATTACTTTGGTTTTATGTCGTTAAAATAATCTAATATGTACTCCAGTATAATTTGATTCTTCGCATGCTTTGTAATAACATGTAAGAAACTGTTAAGAAGATATTGATATTCCTGTTTTGTAGAATTGTGTATATAATTTAAATTATCAATGACGACTGTAGTATTCTCAGGGCAAGCCAAGTATTCTAAAATTTTTGTGTCCTCTTTTTTCCATCCTATATCATACACTAATTTCCAAGTGTCATCTTCTATTTCTACCCACTTTCTTCCGTGCTTAGTACGAACAATGTGTATGAAATAATGGGTAAATACTTTCAAACCTTTACAATATGTCCATTCTTTCCACCATGGCAAAAGTCTTAAAATAACAAAAATTAAATTCTCGTATTAAAGATTAGCATATGGATATCTTGATCCAATCATTTGAACATTATAAACGATACCTACAGAAGAATTTGATTAGGAAAGGCTAAAAATATATAACAACATTTACTTGCGTTTTGTAGGATCTTGAAGATGTTGTTTTAAAATTTTGTTGGCTTCTTTCTTACAATCGATGTCACCGAGAAAACATGCCCATCTTGCAGCTTCTTGTCGTAAGCATATTCTAAGTTTGTCACTATCATCAATTTCATCATATTTGATTATTTCAAGTACTTTGTGCAATGCTCTCATTACTGTAGACTAAAATCGTTCAATATATATTTCTTTGTTCATATTATAAATGTATTCAAAAATTATTATATTTCTCTATTATTTACCAAGAGATTCATCAAATTTTCTCTTTTATGAAATAAACATACTTACAAATTTACTTATAAACGCGAAAGTTTACCTATTAATACGTTCAAATATATACATATTTAAAAGATATTAGAGTTTTATAACTATTTATTAATCATATTTTATTTTTAAATAAAGTAAAAAATATATATCTTTTTGAGATATATAATAATTTTTTCAATTATATATATGTTTTTTATTTTTTATTATTTACTAACATTATAATATTGATAAGAAACCAATATAATAGCATTCATTGACACAAATTTTAAGCACTGCTATATATATTCAATAACAATGTTATATACCGCAATAATATTGGCAGTAGTGAAAGTCATAGATTTTTCGGACAGTTCTTCGGGTGAGTGATTATTTAAACTTAATTTGTTTGCGACGTAATAGTATGTAAATTTTATCATTGCTCGATATATGGTATTTTTCTGAGTATTTAAATTATTTGTGATCAATGAGTGTATATGCAAATATTTAAAATGTAATATTTTCATTGAAATTTATTAATTTTTACCGTAATATGTTCATCTATTTTTGTCAATATTGGAAAAGTATTATACATGTATTCCAGAGCTTTAAACATAGGATACCATGCTATATAATCTTCTTCTCGATGTAAATACTTTATGATATTCCAGAATATACGGGATTGGAGTTGGCCTGCTATCATTAAATGAAATGCATCATCGATAATTTGGGCACGATTAAGAACATGAATTTTCGTGTAATCACCAAAATTTAGATAAATTGAAATTCTTTCCCAATTCTCATTATCATAGTTAACGCGATAATATTCTGTTGAATAATAAATAAATTTCATCAATTTTTTGTTTTTAATAATTTTATCATTAATATATATTTATTTTCAAACTTATTTCAATTTTGTTTCATACTTTTGTTTATATAAATTATAAATTTAAAAAATATCAAAAATTTAATACATATAAATAAAATTCAAATATATATATAGCAGACCCGTAACTAGCCTATTATATCAGGGGGGAGCAAATAAAATCCCAAATAGAGGGCAGTCTCAAAAACTTTTTTCTAATGCACAAAAAATACATTATTTTTATTATTTATTAAATATCAATAAAATATAAAATATAGCAGTAATATATATATATATATATATATAATTACAATTAAGTAAATATTAATATTTTAAAATAATTGTAATTTTCGAGCTATTTCGTTGAAAATTCGTAAGAAAACATTTATATCGATTGCTTCAGTTTTCTTTTTTTTAAAAGGTAATATTGTTAGATTAGCTTCCCCGACCAAACAACATAACTTGTCTGTGTGGCGTTAGCACTCTATAATCTCTAAAAACTCACCTTTAAAAAAAGGTAAAAAAAGGCGACCAGTTAAGGGCACGCCATTAACAAAAATTATCCATTGCAAACCCATGTAGAATCCTATCCTATTGCAAACCCATGTAGAATCCTATAAAAAATTAATCATTGCAAACCCATGTAGAATCCTAGGCAAAATTAACCATTGCAAACTCATGTAGAATTGTATTAAAAATTATCCATTGCAAACTTATGTAGAATCCTACATTGCAAACCCATGTACAATAGAATTGTATGAAAAATTATCGATTATAAACCCATGTACAATCGTAACAAAAGTAATGAAATAAAAAAAAATTGCGCCAAGTGAAAGTAGAAACTTGTACCAGTGGAAAATTAAAGTTGCAGACATATATAGAGTCGTATAATGAATCAGTAAAAATTTAAATTTGCAAATGTAGAATCGTACCATAAAAAAACTTATCTTTTAAAAAAAAGATAAACAAGATGCCAAGTCCATGCGCCATGTGAAAAAAAAATAAAAAAATTTTAGTTAAAAAAACTGGGCGCGCTGCTAAGTTTCAAAATTACAATGCACCTTAAAGTAACATTAATTAATTTAAACACAAAACATATTTTAACTGTAATGAGTTTAAAAGTAACAATTTAATTTTAATATTGTTAGAATATTATTTAGCAGCGCTCCCAGTTTTTTTAACTAAAATTTTTTTATTTCTTTTTCACATGGCGCATGGACTTGGCATCTTGTTTATCTTTTTTTTTAAAGGATTCTACATGAGTTTGCAATGGTTAATTTTTCATAGGATTCTACATAGGTTTGCAATGGGTACGATTCTACATGGGTTTGCAATGGTTAATTTTGCATAGGATTCTACATGGGTTTGCAATGATTAATTTTTCATAGGATTCTACATGGGTTTGCAATGGTTAATTTTGCCTAGGATTCTACATGGGTTTGCAATGATTAATTTTTCATAGGATTCTACATGGGTTTGCAATAGGATAGGATTCTACATGGGTTTGCAATGGATAATTTTTGTTAATGGCGTGCCCTTAACTGGTCGCCTTTTTTTACCTTTTTTTAAAGGTGAGTTTTTAGAGATTATATCATTCATTTTTGTATATTTTTATGACCGGAATAGAACAATTATTAAACATGTTTATCTAAACTTCTTTGCTTAAAATGATGTGTACAATCATATCCTAGAATCCTGATCATTCCTCCTAAAGCACCCTATTTATATAAATTTACCCATATGTGTGTGTGTGTGTGTGTGTGTACTAATGTCGAGCATTTTTTATACATTTTCTATTAAATTTAGATAAAAGTTGCAGGATTTCGAAAAAGAAAAAGTTGACACAGACTTTTTCCTAAACGGCGATTTTCAAGGTTATTTAAAGGTCACTTATATTTTCAAAATAGAATTACCTTAATTTTTCTCATATAAATCGATTCCTCGCAATATTTACTATAAAAAGTTGTAAAGGTATAATTTTTACATAATCTTACATAAACTTCGAAATATTACAAATATTTTATTTTATGAAATATTTCAGTTTATGTAAAATTATGTTAACTATCTTTTAAATTATTCACTTTTAGCCATCTTACCCTTACAACCTTTTATAGTGAATATTGCAACAAATTGGTTTATATATATAATATATATATAACATCAGTTATTATTAATTGATGTTTACATTTATTTTTAGACTTACTAGAGCTCAAATGCTCCACATTTTTTGCAAAAACTGTTTATTCTACAGATTTCAAATATGCTTTTAAATGATGATTGAATATTTCCTTTTTTTAATTATTTTTATTATTATTTTTCAATCTCAATCAACTTTTATAACTTTATGCCAGCACGATACAAATACATGTGTCTTTATTTTTTTATTATTTTCATTATTATTTTTCAATCTCAATCAACTTCTATAACCTTATGCCAGCAGGATACAAATACATGTATGTCTTTATTATTGTATCAACTCTTGTCTTTTCCATGTAACCATGTCTTCATAGTTTGAATTATCCCTTCATCTTCTCAATCTTTCGCAGAGATTTAATTAATTAAATACACTTCACACGAAATAAAGTTTGCTGGAAGATATACAGCAAACGATAACTGTAAAAACATGATTACGTGGAAAGAACAAGAGTTGGTACAGTAAAGGCAAGTAAGTAAGTACATGTAATGTATCGTATTGGCATAACGCTATATCCGCGGAGCAGATAATGTGGCTGTAGAGGTAGTCTGCAGTGCAGCTAATGTGGACGTAGATGTTGATTGAGATAATTGTCTAATATAAAATAGAATTTAAAAATTTAGTTTAAAAAGCTGTTGCATATATAAATAAAGTTTATTTTTTCTAAATTTGGAATATGTTTAATTAATTAATTTTTTAAGTCTATGTTTAATAAATTTTTTAAGTCTGTATTCAATAATTTTATTCATTTGATAAATACATGTATGTCTTTATTTTGATATGTTTAATATAATTAGAAATTCATTATTAATTAGATATGTAAACTATAAATTCATATATAATATTTGAAAATATATGTGAATATTTAAATTTTTATCTTCTCCTTCCTCTCCTTCAATCTCTTTAATATCAATATGTGTATGTGTGTACACGCGCGCACATTTGTACGTATTTATTTAATTATTGGATAGTTGAGAGTACTTAATTGATAAAAAATTATGACAATAATAATCCTTGTTTTTTTTTCTTATTATTTACTCAGATTTTTTTGTCTATCTTATAAGATAAACACTTTAGAGATTGAATATTTCAAGTAAACTAATTGTAAGTAAATTTCACATTAATGCATATAGATGTTTAATCATGAATGTACTAAATAAGTACACAAGACGAACAGTGAGTGAGTGAGTGAGAATGAGAGAGTGTGTGTGTGTGTGCGTGTGTGTGAAGAGAGAGAGAGAGAGAGAGAGAGAGAGAGAGAGAGAGAGAGAGAGAGAGAGAGTTAGCCAACATAACCCCGCACGCTGCCGATCATGAATGTACTAAATAAGTACACAAGACGAACAGTGAGTGAGTGAGTGAGAATGAGAGAGTGTGTGTGTGTGTGCGTGTGCGTGTGAGAGAGAGAGAGAGAGAGAGAGAGAGAGAGAGAGAGAGAGAGAGAGAGAGAGAGAGAGAGAGAGAGAGAGAGAGAGAGAGAGTTAGCCAACATAACCCCGCACGCTGCCGATATGGCGGAGCGCCACTATCGCCATCTGTTGTAAAACGTGCGAGATGGACAAAATTACCACTACATGCATCTTGCATGTGTTGTGTACGTGTGATATATGTGTGCGCATGTGTTGTATACGTGTGAATACGTGTAGCACGATACTACTATGTATGCGTGGTCGATGATGATAATGATGATGATAATGATGATGATAATGATGACGGGGACGTTTCTTAATAGAAATTTTTCATATTTCGACTTTGCATTTATATATCTCTGCTTACAAATCACGTAGAGCAGAAATAAAGACACTTTTATTATATAATTCGAACTCAATCTATCGATTAAGTCTAGTATAAACTCGATTGCTTCAGCCATTATTGAGGATTCGAAATATTATAAAGACTCAAATGTCCGACTCGCGTTAAGATACACGGTGTCTCCGCTACGCCCTTAACTGGTCGCGAGACACTACCGTGTCTCTTGATTTAAAGTAGCCAGGAGGGGCAAATAAAGATGCTAGAGGAGGGCATTGCCACCATTTGCCACCCCCCCCCCTCTTGGTTACGGGCCTGATATATAGAAAAATAATTATAAAAATGTCATCTTAATACTTGAAATAGTAGAGGAAAATGTAACTGTGCAAGATATCGTTATACATCAGAAAATAAAACTATGATTTTAGTTGTGCATAAATAATAATTCTTTTATGCTAATCAATATAATTGCCGTAAGATATAACGTTACAAAATTGTATGTAGCTGCACTTATTATTATTAATTTTATAAATATAATTATTTTTTAAATGATTTTACTAATTATTTGAATAAAATATTTGTAAAAATATAAAATTAATATTGAACGATATTATTTAGCAAACGCCTAGGTATATCTTGTACATATAATATATATATATATATATATATATATATATATATATATATAGGTATATTATATATATATAATGCAGAATATTACACCAACACTTTTAAAACATTATTTAGTTATAAAATAAATATCTCGGATTTTTATAGGACTACGATAAAATAATAAAAATATAAAATAATGTCAATTATGTGTGTGAAATAAGTCATAATGATTTGTCGATATTTACCAATTTGTTGTATATTGAATATCATCCAACCATGTTCTTTATATGGTAATGATAATTTCAATGGTACTAGTAAACGTTTAATTTCCCATCGCTTGCATAACAAATGATGAGTAAAATTGTTAAAATCGGGAGACGTTTGCGTAGTAAAAGTTATAGGAATGCACTCAATTTTTAATGTGTCGATATTTTCTATCCATACAAATGTTCGATTCTTAGGATCATCATAATTTCGTTCTACTTTAATAACAGGACAATGCTTTTCCAAATCCCAGTTTTTCATGTGCGAGATGTGTCCAGCAATATATATATTTATTGTTGAAGCAACATCTTTCATAAGCTCCATAAAGTCTAGATGGTGTGATGAGCTAAATTTACAAAGTATGTAAAATATATTAAAAAACATTACAAATATGTTAAAATTGTGTGTATATTGTTCATATTATAAAAAAATTTAATAAATACTAAGAAACAAAATATAAAATTGAATTTCCACACAATTATTTATTTATATATCTTATATTTATATTCTGATAATAAAGAATATAACTTAATTTTAATGAAAATTTAATAATGTGACTTAATTTTTTAGGCATTATTAGCATTGATACAGATAATATTTGAGCAAAGTATTGAGAGAATTATAAAATGATTAGAAAGAGAAATAAAACAAATAAGACATTTAAAACAAAACAAAAATTTAAAAAATAATATAAAGGTGAGCGATTTACGAGAGAAGAAAATAAATATCGAGAAAGAAATGGAAAAAAGATATAAGTGTTACATATTTATAAACCTGTTAAATAAGATTAGAAAACAAATGTAGCACAAAATGCTAATTGCAAAAAAACAGATATAAGAATTATAGACGATATAAAGAAACAAAGGAAATAATAAAAAAAATAAAAATAATTTTAAAAGTTAGTTGAAAAAATAATTAATTATGAAAGAAAAATAAAACAACAATAAATATGCATATGAAAAAGTGATAACGATAAAATAATTTCTTTCTACAGAAACGATTTTCATAGAAAAAATAATGAAATTATAAATAATTCTAGTAGAAGATCTAGAAAAATAGCAGAATTGTAACATTAAAAAAACATGCAATAATATCAGAAGAAACGAAAGAAAATAAGGGACATTATATAAAACTTCTGTTATTATACATTATTTACATTGCACAATTTTATTTTTTTGATATTATATTCTGTATTGTATTACTCACTTGTCATCTAGATATGTGTTTATGCCTATCTGAAATATTTCTTCTGTAAGGACGTGTTGCATCATACGCAGTATAAATGGTGCTACGATTTACATCAAAATTATGAATTAGACATATTATAAATATATTTACTACAATATAATTACTTGTAAATATAGTGATTTAAAAAAAAAATTATATTGTATATGTATACAGAGTAGTTGTCGCGGAAGAGTGAAATGTTATTTGTTGCCGCACCTTTTATCATTTTATTTTATTTTATACTATATTTCTCGTTAATACTTACGAAGATAGCAAAACTTTAAATGATCATTCGATTAATTCCCTTTACCTACATATGTGCGGCTATATTACCGGACACTTTTGTGTGTGTGTGTGTGTGTGCGTTGGAGAGTGTGTATATACGGGGCATTATTTATGAATTAATCCACTCAAATTTTCAAAGTTTTTATATCACGCTAAAATTTGCAGAAAATGTAATTCTATCAAAAGTAAAATTATTTTTCAACTTATCAAATACTTTGTAAGTATGTATATATATACATGTTTATATATGTATATATATCTGAGACACACACATATATATATATATATATATATACATATATATAATATATAAAAAGTCACCACGTTTGGCCACAAACAATAGAACTGACCAGATATCTTTCTGTATTTGTAAAGGCGTCCGAACTGCATCATTGATGATACGCTTGGTTCTAAAATGGACTATATCTTAAAAACTAAAAGCCTGCCCATCTTGGCCTTGGAAGCGTTTTAAAGGGAAAGATTTCTACTTTTTTTAAAGATTTTTTGAAGAAAATCAAAGATGTCTAAATTTGAGAAAAAATTGATTGTTACCTTGTTTTTTGAAAATCTTATATAAATTGTTATTGAAAAAAAAACTAATTTTACAAGATTAAAGTACGTAAAAAGACCTTTCAAAATCACACCTTATTTTTTAAAATCGGAGTAGTCTTCTGAAATTTATCAACGTTTAAAGTTGGACGTAACGGCCAAAATGATAAAAATTCAAGTCCCTGTTAACACAGAGCCTGTATGGTGTGAACCAAACAACTTGAAGAATAATTTTACTTTTGATAGGACTACACTTTCTGCAAATTTCAGCGTGATTTGGAAAACTTTAAAAATTTGGGTGGATCAATTCATAAATAATGCTCCATATACACACTCACTCATATATATGTACACACAAATTTTTCATTTTAAAATATCTATACATATATTTCTTGAACAATTTATTTTAGGGAAAAACGTTTTAAATAAATGTGTATAATATCTAACGAAAAACAAGTGAACACTATAGTTTGATTTTTCTTAAAGTGTGATTCTCAAAATCATTCGAAGATCATTTAATTTCTTTTTTAAATAAATTTATTTTAATTATTTTTTAAATTGATTTCTCGCAATATTCGTTATCAAAACAATAAATTGTGAGGATAAGATAATTATAAAGAGAATACACAACACGATATTTTATATCTTTAACACATTATTTTACATAAACTATAACTATCTCATGAAATATTAATTTTTCGTCAATCTAGCCTCAATAATTTTGTATATAAAATAATGAGAAAAATTAATATTTCTGAAAAAAACCACATATTTTTTAAGGAAAACTATATAGGTGCTACTTGCAAATTACATAAGCACACATATATATTGTTTATATGTACAACTACTTTAAACATTAATTAAAGAATATGCATAAGTACACACACATGAACATACGTGTGTGTGTGTGTGTTGTGTGTGCGTTTGCGTGCGCGTGCGCGTGTGCGTGCGCGAGCGCGTGTACGTGTGCGTGCGCGCGTATTTTTATAAAAATAAAATTTAATTAAAATCCAGATAAAGAATTAATTATTTTCTAACTTTACATTTTTTTTAAATATTAAGAGTTAAAAATTTGTGCGGACTATTTAATTATATTACGTACCTCTGATATAATTGGGGATTTCCAATGAACTGTTAACTTGTGAAGTTAGATTCCACATATAATAATCACTATCCAAATTAAAAGAGTAATGTTGACTTTAAACAACAAATAACTTTTTTATTCAATAATCTGAATATTTCTATAGAAAAAAATAATTAATATATCGATATATCCGTTCTGAAAAAATACTTGCATTACATACAAATATTAATATTATTAACGTTACTTCATTATTAAAACGAAACATTTTCTCATTTTAGGAAACACACACACATTAAAATAAATATAATAATAAAATCTAAAATTTTGTATTATTATAATTAGCAAATATTACATATTTTTTAAATTATTGTCTCAAGATATTATATTGCAGACCTCTCTTTATCAAATTTATTTAAATAAATATCATGTGTACTACGTGTTTTTGATTAATTTATTTTATTTTTAATTTCATAAAAATTTAAATATATCTAATAAAATGGTGTTAAAAAATAAAAATTTTGAATAAATTAAATTATAATATTATATGTATGTAAATATATGTAAAAAAATTATTTTTCAAAAAACAGTTAATTATTTTATATGTGTATTGCTAAACATTTTTAAGACAATTCACAAAGCATGCGTATAGATTTTGTAAAAAAAGTTTGATTTAAAAAAATTTTGCAATATGAGTACTTAAGTATTGTATTGTTTGCAAAAAATTGGAAGCGAGATATCGTTGAAAATATTTAGAATAACCTTATTGACAGCATACGTTGCAAACAATGTAGTGAAACCTTGTTTAAACCAAAAATCTGACACTAACGGATTATTCATCATGTTATTAAACCATTGCTGTGCCACTTTTCGTCCTACTAATTGAGCTACTTCGATCTTGTGAGCAATAGGATATACATTTTTATCGTAGATGATATCTGTTTCCCTGAAAGTAATATTTAAATGTTAAGATTGAAAACTTTTATAGAAAATACAATTTTATTTTTGTTATAATATTTTAATTTAATTGTTAGATATACGATTTACAAATTCATGGGTACAATTTAGCAAATCAGTATTGTAAATCGTACTAAATAATATTCTCTTTAATGTTTAACTTAAGTATAAAAAAATGATTTTGTGTTAATACATATATCATTGATAAAATTTATAGTTTTAAATGAATAAAAGAATGTCATTATATTTTTATACCTTTATTACTATTTTAACATTTACCCTTATGTATATGTACATTATAACGATAAGCTTCTACTTTTTGAGTTAAACGAATAAACTTAATTCTTACTACTTAAAATTGTTTGTTTTCCCAATTTCTGTTACTTTCGAATATTCACAGAAATATATAAAGGATTTACAAATTTTAAATTTGATAAATTTTTATATTAATATAATTTTATTTTTAATGTAATTTTAAGCACTTGTACTCACTTTTAAAACACAAGTCCAAAAACTATTGTGTCATCGTCATGGAAATTTGGAATTGCAACATGAGTCACGTTCGAAATTTTGTCCGAACGTTTCCATTTACTTTTAAAAGACAACGTGATATCTTCAGCTACATTTTTAGCAAATTCCAAGTGAAATAGAGATTCAAATCTGCACCACATTTGAATGTTTTGTGTTTTTATATCAAGAAGGAATAGGTAGTTAGATATAACCATCGTTGCGTGATGAGTCAACATTACAGGTATGGTATCGTAGTGTCTCCATACTAAATTGTACTCATCTCTTTTTGTATTTTGCAATGGCATATTTGACAAAGTCGTGCAGTTATGACATGCTAAAGAAATGTTAAAGGTTGCTTCTAACTGTAAATCATGTGTATGCCAACATGGAAACACTTGTCGGGCGTCTACTATCTGAAAATGTGGAGCACCTACCCAACTACATTTCAAAGAACATAAATTAATGAAACTTTTTTCACAAGCATAAAAATAAAAAATGGGAATTAAAAAATGTATAAATGTTATATGCGTCGACACATTATATTTTATGACTTTATTACTTATTATTATAATAATAAAGGTAAAGATTGTTCACCCTTAGATTTAAATTCCGCGATATATAATAATTTTTGGGACATTTAATACATAATTAGTATATTAAATACAATGTTATATGTTGTTGTATATTGTACTCTTTTTAACAAACATTTATTATTTACTTACGTAGCTTTTTCTTTCACGTTGAAAATTCTGAACCCTTTATCAGCAATGCCAAAATATTTTATATTTAAAGTGTAATTTCCTGGTGATAACTCATCCATAAAGAAAATATCAACTGTATCTTCTTCAATATTATACGTCGGTTTATAAACTATATCATTATCATTCTCATGATATTTTTTGAAATTTGTAATTAAAACTATATTGTCAATACATAATTTTTTCGAATATAAATATATGTGTTGCGTTTTGTGAAGAATGTTTATGCTGATATTGTATTCTCCATGGAAAATATTTGCTTCAATAAATGATGTAAGCTTGATATTGTAATGCATCGGTTTTATATATTCTGATATTCGATAGCATAAAGATTCATTACGAATGAAAGCCGTTACAGCAATAAAAATTAATCCGCTACTTAATAATAGTTTTAGCAATATCATCATGTCGAAGGAGAGGAATATTTATTTTAGATCTGTAAAACACTCTGTGGACAAAATATGAATAAAGAAATTAAATATATCTTAGATGTCGTTTTTAAATAATTTTTGTATATAAACAAAAAATAAATATAAAAAATATTATAATTATTATTGAAAAACCATATTCTAATTAATGAAATATTATACGATATGGAAGCCACGTGCAAATTTCCATTTGCACTTTTTTTTAAAATAAATAAATATATATATATATATATATATATATGAGTGTGTGTGTGTGTATGTATTTCAGTGTTTCACAAATTTTAATTGACAGCAGTATAGAAATATTAAATTTAAAACATATTTTATATTTTCTTGAAATGATGGTTCTAATTGTCAAAAAATTATATATGTTTAAATATTATAGAATATTATATAGAATATAAAGGTTTATAGTATATAAACTTATATAGTTGTCTGAAGTGAATTACTTTTATAAACACAAGAGCCGTTATTTCTACTTCCATATATACCTGTGTGTACATTCAAAATAAGAAGACAGTAGGGGTGAGAAAGACTGAGGAGCGGCGAGAAAGAGAGAGTGAGTGAGAGAGAGTGAGGAAGAGAGAGAGAGAGAGAGAGAGAGAGAGAGAGAGAGAGAGAGCGCACATGTTTATTATTAGGTTCCTTTAAAGATCTGATTTTTTTTTAATATATGTATTATAAACTCGAAACAAACAATCATCGAGAATAAAACCAACATAAATTTAATTTCAAATTGTATAAATTATACACTTGATAATAAATATTATATAAGATGTCCCAAAACTAGCAATACAGCTGTTAAAAGCAGATATCTGAGATCCATTTAGAGATTTCTCCTCAACGAAAATGTTAAAGTACCAATAAATATCGAGTTATAAGAAATTAAAAATAAATGGTGTTTCACAAACTAAGCCTTGTGGAAGTAAAATATTAACAATATCACATTTGTCTATTAATATCGAATCAGGTTTACCGTTATTGGAATTTTTATTTAAGGTTTAATTACAACATACATGATGGCAAATTTGCGAACATACAAAAAATTTTAGTTTATCTCGACATTTTTGCAGAGAAAAATTGACTCCAAATGATCTCAGAAATTTACTATTAACACGTTTACTACTATTTCTGGAATTTCTGTATATATATAATGGGGTTTTTTTTAGATATTTCAGATTAAACGCATCAAAGTACATGTGATTAATGATTGCTTTAAATCTATAATATTATAGGTTTCTTCATCCGATTGACAATTAGTATGTCTTCTCATTTTACTCGATAATGTCTAATTAATAAATAATTATTAAAATAATCTCTAGATTAAAATTTAAAGATAATTTTGTGTAAAACTATTCTCTTTATTCCTATACATATGTTGAAATTCTTTAAAATTCTGTTATTGTATGATTAATTTTTTTTGTATTTGTAGATACATATATATTTTTATATTTTGAATTTATTCTGACTAACTTAATATTTCGAAACAGAATGTTAATGGGAAAATTATATTGATTAAAATTATATTATTTTAAAAATTACCTACTGCAAATTAATGCTTTAGCAGTATGGAGAATGTTCGAAGAATATAATTATTCACAAACACTTTATTACACAAATATTATCTCCACCACGATGTGATTCGAAAGACTGACTGATTCTCTGTACGTGTCATCATGATAAATACGATGTGTTAGGTCAACAAAACTTCTGAGGTTGTTATATATATATATATATATATATATATATATATGTGTGTGTGTGTGTGTGTGTTTTCGGCATTTGTGTGTAACAGTTATATCTTAACTAATCACATTCAAATTTCGGCTAATTAATCAAATAAATAGGCATTATTTACATATTTCTATTACTTATTCCGAAAAATATTTTTACAAAAATATGGTGTATTATCTCGTAATATACACATCTTTTGATAATTTTCTCGTAATAATTTTCTGCACAAATTAGTAATATTGTTCAATTAGTGTATGCATATCATTATTTAAGAAAAAGGTATGTAGTTGCACATTGCTATAAATTGCAATTTTTTTTTAAATCATTGGAATGCTTTTCTTATATCAATTAATTTATTCACATTATTTTGTGAAAAAATTTATTAAGATAAAATAATATTCGAAGATAAATACATTGCAAGATGTTTTATATTTTTGTCAGAATAAAACATAAAGCGTTCAAACAAAAATAAAAATACGAACATAAAAGGCTGTAAGAGCTAAGCGCAGTGTACTGGAGCGCGAATATATTGAAAATAATTTAATTCAAATTTTATTAGTTCTTACGGGCTTTAATTTATTTTATGTTTGAAAAATAATGATAACTATATCATCTCAAAAATGCCTTCATATCGAAATGAAAACCATACTTATGACGCGACGCTGCTTTCAAATTCATTCAATATTGTATAAAGTATTTGTCGAAAGAGAAGTCCTGGTTCTGAAATAACAACAATACATTATTTAAAATGGGATATTTTATATTTTTTGTTAGAAGTATACATTTATTTATACATGTCTTTATGCACAATACTGTGCCTTTATACTGTACTTACGTTTGTATGTATAATTATAAGTATATATTATAAAATCGTAAATATTATAATCGCTTACTGATTAATCTCAAGGTGTACTATTTTTTTTTCATCTATTTTTATCAATTTTTGCTAACTTTCAAATTTTAATACTTTAATTATTTATTCTTACATTGTACTTAATGAGCAAAACTAAAGATTTATAACTGAGAAAATTAGTATCTCCAGAAAACATTGTTTTCAAATGTTAATACAAAATATTTTTGAAGATCTGTGTTGCTTTTTTTAAAATTGTGTATATTTTATGATCAAAGCCCGATGTGCGGGCGTTTCTAGGATTGACTATAGTCAATCTTGCGGAATAATCAAGCGCGTTGATCAAAGTCCGAAATAGTTTTGCGTTTCGACTTTTGACTAGTACGCTTTTAGTCAATCCTAGGAATAACTAATATGGCTGGTTAAAGTTCGAAACTAAATGTGTTTAGTCTAATATTTATTTTCTTTCAATAAATTTTTATGGGTCGAAAATTTTCTCAATATTACGATTTCTAGATTATGTATATATATATATATATATATATATATATATATATATACAAGGTGTCCGGTAACTAACGGACCAACGATCATAAATGGATTCTTTGGTCAATTTGGGAACGATATTTCCTCAGCGAAAATGTCGAAAAAGGTCATCATTTTTTACAACTTTCCAATTTTGTCATTATGTATCTTTATAACTAAGCCTCAAATTAATCAGGAGACGCGGTAGTGTCTCCAGCCATGTTCAAACCCTAAAAGACCTTAAAAGACACTACAAGTCTCCTTATCCTGCACCATCAAAGTCCATTTTTTGGGGGTGTAGAACTACTAAAATATAAAAAATTTTGAATTGCACGTAATATAAACTGAAAGGCGGCATCGCCACGAGTAATTTGAGCCAAGAAAAAATAAAATCGGTCAAGCCGTTCTGGAGATACAAGCAGTCAAAAAGTGACGTTTTTCATGAAAAATGAAGTAACGTCGTCTTCTTCTTCTTTTTCTTCTTCTTCTTCTTCTTCTCTGTCCGCGTATAAATCTCTTCTCACCTTTCACTCACACCTCCCTCAACTTCCACCCAACCCTTTCCCTCCCACATCCCGCCCCACCCCCACCCCCAACCCACCTCACCCCCACACCCTTTTTCGTCCTCTCTCACCCTCTTTCGTCCTCTCTCACCCTCTTCACCCTCTTTCGCCCTCTCTCACCCTCTTTCGTCCTCTTTCATTCTCTTTCATTCTCTCTCACCCTCTTTCACCCTCTTTCATTCCTCTCACCCCCTTTCGTCCTCTTTCACCCTCTTTCGTCCTACTCACCCTCTTTCGTCCTCTCTCACCTTCTTTCACCCTCTTTCGTCCTCTTTCACCCTCTTTCATCCTCTCACCCTCTTTCGTCCTCTTTCACCCTCTTTCGTCCTCTTTCACCTCTTTCATTCTCTCTCACCCTCTTTCGTCCTCTCCTCACCCTCTTTCATTCTCTCTCACCCTCTTTCACCCTGTTTCGTCTTCTTTCACCCTCTTTCATTCCCTCTCACCCTCTTTCGTCCTCTTTCACCCTCTTTCGTCCTCTTTCACTCTCTTTCGTCCTCTCTCACCCTCTTTCATTCTTTCTCACCCTCTTTTACCCTCTTTCGTCCTCTTTCACCTTCTTTCACTCTCTTTCGTCCTCTCTCACCCTCTTTCATTCTTTCTCACCCTCTTTCGCCCTCTCTCATCCTCTTTCGACCTCTTTCACACTCTTTCGTCCTCTCTCACCCTCTTTCGTCCTCTTTCACCCTCTTTCGTTCTCTCTCACCCTCTTTCGACCTCTTTCGTCCTCTTTCACCCTCTTTCGTCCTCTCTCACCCTCTCTCACCTCTTTCACCCTCGTACGTCCTTTCTCACCCTCTTTCGTTCTCTTTCACCCTCTTTCGCCTATCTCGTCTTCTCTTACCCTCATTCGTCCTCTCTCACCCTATCTCCAAAAAATCATAAAAATGAAAAGGTCAAGCCATGTTCAAAAGAAGGTCCTCAAAAATTTAAACCTAGTCTGTACAATGAAAAATAATTACTCGTAATTCCAGAGTTCCAATTTGTTAATATCGAATAATGTATTTGTTTCAAGTAATGGCAGTAGAGTCAAATACATACCTACGTATATGCAGTTTTTGCTGTTAATTGTACTTGAACGAAAAAAATAATTAAATGATTTAAATATAGCACATTTTAAATCAAGAAACTTATATAATCGAACTCTGTTTAGGAAAAGGTAGAACATTTCATTTGCCTCTGCCTTTACAAGAAACATTGGATAAGGTATGTCCTCCGGAAGATCCTATAAATTTGAATCACGAGTTGCACATTCTCGTTCGAGGTATACCCAAGAAATCTAAAGTGGTTTGGGAAAATTTGGTAGATATTAATAAAATGTATAAGGCTTTACAATGGTTGAAAGAAAATAATCCTCATTACTCAAAAATTCGTCTTCCAGCGTCATCTGATGATCTATTAAAGGATAAGTTGCAGGAAACAGAATATAGGATTGTCGATGAGGAAAGCGACAATGACGAAATAAATGAGGTGGTTGAGGAATTACCAGCATTGAATTTGTACAATGTACAGCAAAACAAAAATAATAATGATCAAACCGTTTTAAAACGTACGGCTTTTCTCACACAAATCACTGAACATTCGGATATTAACGATCAGTATACAATATACCCAATACACGCGAAAAGAATCGATAACGAATCTGCATTGAAGCTTTATCAAATGGTGAAAATTGAAGATTTTCCAATGGATAATCGTTATAAATATCTGGATGTCATGTGTTTCCCTGATTTATATCCTGATGGTGTCAATGGACAACGAGAAGATAGAAACTTTGCATTGCCGGAATATTTATTTATTAGAACACGATTGATGTCGAAACATAGTAGATTCAGGTTGAATCTGCAGTATCTGTTCTTCCTTCTCAATGATGCTAACTACCGACAGTTGAAAAGTGGTATCTATTATACGATGATGGTTACTAACCCACGAGAGAGATACACTGCTGGTAGATACTTGAACGAATTGAAAGGTTACCAATTAGAATCGAATTTAATGAGTATTTTCGCAAAATTGAGAAATACGGATCAATTTTGGCGACAACCGTCCAATAATGTAAAATGCATGACTTTGCATTACGGTCCAGCGACGTGGTTTTTGACTTTGAGTCCTAGTGAATGGAAATGGTCCGATTTGGGTGAATATTTACGAGATATGAATCCCGATAAAGAGAAGTTAGGCATCAGCGAACTAATCGCATACGATCCTGTAAGTACTTCTAGATTCATGTGCATAAAATTCAAAGCCATGATTGATTTTATTTGTTCGTCCGATAATCCAATAGGAAAGGTTATTCATTACTTCTGGCGACTGGAATATCAACGTAGAAGTATCCAGCACATGCATTGTATGATTTGGATAAAAGATGCTCCAGTATTAGGAAAATCGCCGGATGAAGAAGTTGCTACGTTTATTCAAAAATACGTAACGTGTGAAATTCCAGATGAAAATGTTTCGCCAACGTTGTACGATACGGTAATAAGTGATCAGAATCATAAACATAACTCGTATTGCATGCGTACGAAAAAAACGGAAACTAATATATACAGAAAGTGTCGGTTCGATTTTCCTCGGCCAGTTACTGAGAATTTCGTTTTAAGAGACGTTATCACTTCGATAGTCGGTAGAAAAAATTTACGCAGTAAGAGCAGATTGTACGATCTTCCTCGCAAGGAGTCGGAAAGGTTTATAAATGATTATAATCCGTCTATCAAATTAGCCTGGGAGGGAAATATGGACATACAATTTATTAGAGAAAAATCAGAGTTTTTAAACTCATATTTAACAAAATACACGACAAAGTCGGAAAAATGCAATACAGACTTTGAAGTGATAGATTCGAATAAGTCCTTGGCATCGAAACTGTGGAATTTTGCAATGCGTTCATTAAATAACAGAGAATGCGGTGCTTTAGAAGCTGCGGATACACTATTAGGG